ATATGCTACGCTAGCGTGTCGTATAGGAAACGCTAGCTTAGTAAAAGAGAGAGAGAAGACTAGAGTAACCTATCCCGTTATACCCTCGCTTAATTATAGCTAGCTAGCTATTCTACCTCGTCGTATTATTAAGTATAGGTACGAGGCTAGTAGCTATTTTAAACTTACGACGACGACAAGCTAACTTTATAACCTACTTAAAGAACTTACGAAGGTAGTCGACGGCCTTATAGTTAGCAATTCTAGTGCCCTAGCTAATTTTAGTAATAGCCTCTAAGGGCTCCTAGCTCTTAGCGATTATAGTAGTAATAGCTTCCTCTAAGCTTATAGATATAAAGGCTTAACTAGCTAGATTAATCTAATAGCTAAAGCATTAAGTCCTATACTAAATAGGGTCCTAATCGACTAATAAACGCTCGCGAAATAGGGTAGTAAGGTGCTGCATTATAGTGTTATTATAGGTAGCATTATTAGAGGTAATGTAGCTAATCCTTTGCTAGATTTTATAGTCGACAATAGTTTTAAAGAATAGAGGTACGTAGTGCTTACCGGCATAGCTAATAGGTAGCTTATAGAGAGTAAGTAGAGCCTTGCTTAATATGCTATCCGGTACGACGAACCGAGCTATAATACTAAGCAATTTATAACTACTATAGTTCGTAGTCTAAGCATTATAGGTAAAGTAGATTACTAACTAAGAAGTTATAAGTAATGCCTTAAGCTAATCCTTATAAAAATCGTGTTCCTTTTTAACATGCCTAGCTACTAAGTAATAAGTCTTAATTAGTAACTTAGATACGCTAGGAAACACCGTATCGAGTAGAGCATAGAGCTTCTTATTACTAGCGGTGTAGAAGGGGATATTGCTCGAGGTAATATAGTCGATTAGGCGCTTATTTAAAGTAGCTCTATTAATGTTATTAAGAAGGCGAGAGGCTTAAGGAACTGCTACTAATACGATGCATAGAAGCGATCTAGTCGAGTTCTAGCTATGCTTACGGAAGAGATATAACCTAATATTATTGTAGTTAGTAGTCGAGTACTTATAAGGATAGTCCTTATTTAGTTAAAAATAGTGTAGTCCTAGCACACTTAGAGGAGTTACAACTCTATTACAATACGGTAAGGTTCTATTATAGATAGGTCTATAATAGGCTATAACAAGTAAGGGGATAATAAGGTTAGCTTAGCATCCTAACGCCTTAGTNTTACAATACGGTAAGGTTCTATTATAGATAGGTCTATAATAGGCTATAACAAGTAAGGGGATAATAAGGTTAGCTTAGCATCCTAACGCCTTAGTAGAGTAGGATGTTCTTAATAGATTGCGCCCGTAGATACTCTTCTTCTCTTTAATTAATTAATTATATAGCTATATACTATTAGCTCGCTTTCGTTAGCAAAGGTCGCATCTCTACCTTCGGTTAATTCTATAGGCTCTAGGATTACTTCCTACCGCTAGCTAGAGTATTATATGTACCTATTATACGTCTTATTTTAACTTATTCTTATAATAGCAATACTAGATCTTCTTCTTGCCCTTACGCTCTAGTTCGCTAGCGCGATAAGCTCTTACTTAGGCCTAGAGCTAGTCTAAATCGCTACGAGTAATAGCAACTTTACGAGGGCGTTATTAATACATATTAGGCTCTAGTTTGTTAATAGTGTCGTTAGAAGTAAGAGACGAAGTAATAGAAGGAGAGGGAGGCGTAGTAGTAGTAGTAGTCGTATGTTATCGCTTAGAGGGTCGAGGCATTAGAGGTTACTCTATATCGGTGTTAGATTTAGAGGCTTTAGCTTTAGAGTGATCTTTAATGAAGATGCTCTCTATATAACCCTCTAAGTCCTAGTATTTAGCTTTAGGTACTCTAACCCTCTTATTATAAGTAGCGTACGCGTAGAGCGTACTCTATTTAGCCGCGCAAAGGAGCTACCTATTAAGGCATTAGAGTTATAGCTAGCTCTATAATTCTAGGTAGTTAGTGTCTTAACTAGCAGAGGAATACATAGTATAAAGGTTAGTATTAGGGTTCTTTAAGGTGCTAAATGTAACAGGAAAGTAAGTAGAGACTTAGCTATTAATTTAAGAGAGGTGTCAATTTTCGAGATATAGTTAGGGTAGTTAGTATAGGAAGGAGAGGGGGAAGCCTCGCGAAGAAAAGTTAGCTAGTATCCGACACGAACTCGACTTATCGCTTTACGTAGCTAGGCTAATCGGAGTCTTAGATCTTATCTCCGAGATTAGATCTAACTAATTAGACGTATTACAATCTAGATGACCGAAGCGAGGATTTTTAGCATAGTAACTACTAGCCTCCGGCAAGCTCTAAACTACCTTAAAGTTGCTACTCGGTCGACCCTAGCTAATAGTTTCGAACGACGACGACGACGATAACGACGATAAGGTACCTATTACTGTTAGCATTTGGCATATTCCACTAAATTAGCTGATTCTATTCCATGCTAATAGAGTAGAATATTCTACTGATTTTGAGTGGAATATTCCAATATTCTAACTATTCCATGCCATTTAACATCCACACTGTCCTATAGCCTCTAACATCGAAGCTTCTGCTTCGATGGTGCGGGATGCTTGTACTTGCTCCGAACTTACCGGAATCGAGTCTTCTCATTATCCTCGAGATTACCCTAGCTACTCGTCTCGATATTCTCCGGGCCACCCCGGCGCAGACAGCACGTCAAGTTATGATACCAGTCCAGTCATTTCTGCTTGCTCGCAGTCGAACTTGCGATATTCGAAGAAACGGCCTTTTCACCGGCATCTGTTCTTAAGCGCCATGATATGTGTCTCAAGGATACTCGACTACTCGCTCCAAGTAAACTGCGACCTCCTCTCGCATTCAAGACAAGACAAGACGTCGGATCGCGACCTCAAGATGTAGCAGATGCCGCTCGTACCAAATCCGACACTCGGCTATGGGGCGGGCATCGGATGCTATCCGCTGCCATATCGTCGTGCTGGTGATGTCGCAAGCACTTCTGCACGGATCTCAATATGTCACATAGATGATAGAGCGAACAACACAGTGCCGTATTCCGCCGTACCACTTTGATCAGATGGGGTAGTTGTCCCCGGACTCCATGCCCATGGGGTTCAAAAGCCGCCATGAAGATCATTCTTTACCCACATCCTCGAAGACGTCTCTGGGCATTCTTGTCACCGAAACTGTACTTGAGCATGGTGCCCTCTCATACTCATGGTCAATTCCTTCTGAGTCGTTGTTGAGAGGCTGTACGGAGACTTTGCCAGCGTGATATCGAGACAGCATAAGGATTGTTACTAACGTCGCGACCTTCAATTGAGGAGGCCCTCGGCGAAGACCGGAAGCCGATGGACGTGGCTTGTCTGCCACGTTCTCAACAACCAGCTTCGCGGACAAGCACAGAACACCTGCGCCTCTCGGAAACCATCTTCAGCGCGAGTCAAGACGATCAGATACCTTGAAACTCTCCGAATGCTAGGCAGATGATCTTTTCCTTGTTGTTCGACGTCACAATCTCTATTGTCTCTGTCACGATCTGTCTCATGACATCGACGAGGTAAAGAAGGCCTGCGACCCTTCGCTGCTGTATCATGTTTACCACATAGCATCAATGCGACCTGACTCGAAAGACTCGTTATACACGTTCCTGAGGTCGAACCGTTTCCAGGTTGCCAAGTTGTCGTCGACGAAGAAGCCACACACGTCACGCCCTCATGCAAAACTCCAGATAACCCTAAATGCTCGGCCCTATTGTTGTTCACGTGAGCTATACCACGTACGCTACGGACGAATCACATCTCTCTCATTCATCGAAGAGGGGCCCTGCAGATCTTCAAACCTGCCGTTAAGCCACGGCGAACTCCCAAAAGCCGCCGTACGCCGCAACCGCAGCACCGCAAGTGTAAAGTTGGGTAATGCGGAGGACTTCCTCCAACCCCCATGGGGCACTAGTTTGCATGCCGGACCTCTTTACCGGGCATAATTACCTACCACGAACGTCGCACCCACCTTTGTCTTTGCTGACCTTAAAAGGCCATGGCGTCGGCGACTGAAGACGTTGCATTCGAAATCGAAGATATAAATATGAACGTGTGCCCTTTCTTGTTGGACATCTAGACTTCTGATCATATCATCTTTACATTTCGACGCTTCTATCATACTGGTCTACTATCACCCTGACTACTCGACACTCCGGTCCAACAACTCACACATCCTATCAATATGGACTCAAAAGACTTCGGCGGTCTTGAAAAGGACCCCGAATATCTGTCCAAGGTCGAGACATACGGCACATCATCAGAACACCATGAATATCTTGAAACGATACACACTGCCGACCTACCGCAAAATCTCGCCGGAGATGTAGCATACGGAAGAGATGGATTCATGGGAATCATAGAGTCACCGTTCGTCTTTGGTGCTGCTATGCTTGCATCACTCGGCGGCTTCTCCTTCGGATACGATCAAGGAGTCATCTCCATCATCAATGTCATGCCGCAATTCCACGAGACGTTCCCATATGCAGCCACAGGATTCGACAAGGGCTTCATGACTGGTATGCTGGAACTTGGAGCATTCATTGGTTGTTTCTTCATGCCATATATGGCCGACAAGATCTCTCGCAAGTGGGCCTTGACTATCGTTGTCGTCATCTTCAACATCGGAGCCGTCATTCAAACAGCAGCACAGGACTACGGGATGTTGGTTGCAGGCAGATTTATTGGCGGTGAGTCAAGTCTATGCTAGGAGATGGACACCGACTAATGAACATGTAGGTATTGGTGTCGGAACGCTAGCTCTAGGAGCACCGCTCTACATCTCCGAGATCGCACCACCAAACCTTCGAGGATCTCTTCTTGTTTTGGAGTCAATAAGCATCTGCTTGGGTGTTGTAATTGCCTTTTGGATCACATACGGAACGAAAGAGCTGAGTGGAGAGATTGCATACCGTCTTCCTCTTGGTCTGCAGATGGTTTGCGCAACACTTTTGGGTGTCTGCATCCACTTCTTCCCGTATTCCCCCAGATGGCTTGCTTCTGTTGGCCGCAACGAAGACGCACTTGGTGCACTCTGCAAGCTCCGTCGTCTTCCGAACACAGACGCCAGAGTACGCACTGAGTATGAAGGTATCCTTGCCGAAGTGGAGTTTGAGACTGCCATGCAGGAGAAGAGACACCCCGGTGTTCACGGTATCAAGCTCGAGCTTTTGTCCTGGGCAGATCTTTTCACAAAGAAGGTCTGGCGCAGAACTGCCGTGGGTATGGGCGTTGCCTTCTTTCAACAGCTGAGCGGAATCAATGCCTTTATCTATTACGCACCCACTCTCTTCGAGTCTATCGGTCAGTCCAGCGAGATGGCTCTGATTCTATCCGGAGTTTTCAACGTTATCCAATTGGTCGCCGTGGCAATCTGCTTCTTCATCATCGACAAGGTCGGACGCAGACCTCTTGCAATCTTTGGTGGGTTCGCAGCATGCATTCCTTATGGCATCATTGCCATCCTTTCCGGACTCTACGACGACAGCTGGATTACTCACAAGGCCGAAGGCTGGGCTGCTGTGGCCATGGCTTTCCTTTTCATCATGATTTACGGTGTCTCATACTCTCCTCTGGGATGGTGCTTGCCTTCAGAAGTGTTCCCCAACGCACTTCGTTCCAAGGGTGTCGCTGTGTCCACCGCCACCGTCTGGCTTTGCAACTTCATCGTCGGTGTCGCCACACCCCCCATGATTGAGAACATTGGTTTCGGAACCTATGTCTTCTTCGCAGTATTCTGTTTCCTCGCTGGTGTTTGGGCCTACTTCCTCGTGCCCGAAACTCGTGGACGTACTTTGGAGCAAATGGATGAGGCTTTCGGAGATACCAGTGGTCAGGAAGAGAAGGAGTTGATGAAGCAAGCGGCTCTGCAGGCCAGATCGCAAAGACCTAGAGACACTGTTGATGTTTGAGCATATAATAACTTTGCATAAGAAGGGCGTTACTAGAGAGATTCGGCGGACTTTTGGGATAGACTATGATACCATGAATTCGAAATATTTCGGACAATTCGAGCAACACTACTCTGTCCTTATATTGCTTCTAAATATTTTAAGAACACTTTCCAAGACGTGACCAAAGCAAAAGAGTGTCGCGTATGTCGCGTATTGCCGATCACCGGAGTTTAACCCTACCAGAAAATACGCGTATCGAGTACGCTCGGAGTAGAAAGATAAGTACGCTTTACGCCCACACCTTCCTTCCGCTCTCAACACAACTCAGGGTTTCCTCTGCAGACATTCGAATGCCGACAGATTCTGGAGATAAGCCGCAACGGACAAGACGCGCGCACGCAAAATCTCGTCGTGGATGTCTGCAATGCAAAAAACGGCATCATAAAGTATGGCGTATATGTAACTTCTATACGCACGTTCCTGGACTGATCGTGTATGCAGTGCGATGAAACACACCCTGAGTGTAAGAGCTGCTTGAGATTCAGGGTACGGTGCAGTTTCAAAGATGTACCATCTGAAGCCTGTACGCCTGGTTCCCAAACTGAAACAACACCGGATATTGCAACGTCCACCTCGGATCAAGGATCAGACAACACCCTGGATCTAGAGCTTATGGCAAATATATTCTTAGGTCCCTTACATGACCTCTTTCGCGGTCAAGAAGAAAAAGGTCACGAATTCATCAAAGAACATACCGCTCTGCTGTTCTCGAAGCGGTATCTACTGCATCAAGTTCTGGCCATGTCAGGTCTACACTTATTCTCCCAGGACAGATCAAGACTTGATGTCTATCTACGATCATCCTACCACCAAAAAGAAGCATTGAATCTCGCTCAACCGCATATCGGATCTGCGGCCGAGGACCACAGTCTTGCAATGTTCTTGTTCGCTGGCTACACTGCCTCATGTGCTTCGGCTGAAATGGTGTTCAGCCAGAATCACGAAGACGACAATCCTATTGATATAACGGTTCATGCTTGGGGACTTTCTCGAGGTATTGTCATTGTCTCAACTTTGAACTGGTCTTATATACAATCATCTTGGGCTTGGCCGATTATTCAACAACAGATCGATGTAGACTCAGCTTTTGAATCTCGCCCAAAGGACATCCCGGCCTATTCAATGGTGAGAGCGCTGACTTTTGGAGTCCAACCGGCAGAAGATAGGCAGATCTGTCTGAATGCCATCGAGCACACTTTCCGAGCGATTTCGCTGCTGCAGCAATGTACCGATCAACAACTTTGGATCAAACTGGCTTCTTCTTGGCCGATTGAGATTGATGCAAGACTTGATGGTCTTGTTACTGAGCGCCATCCTGTTGCACTGGTCATCATGGCATATTATGCTTGCATGCTGAATCTCGTTTCAGAACTGTGGTGGGTAGGCGCTTGGCCGCAGACGCTGCTTCGGCATATAGTCGATGCGCTGGGTGACGAATGGACAGAATTTCTTCAGTGGCCGATGGAGATCTTGACGCATACACAAGCACACACACCGGTGGGGTCTCATCCTGCGCAGTCTACGCCAAGCGGTTAAACATTAGTGGAGCTCTCAACCAACTTACAAGATATGGTGTACTATGCTTACTATTCGCTTACCCACCTCAAAATGCGGACATACAACAACGTCGAGATCATGAACGCATACCAAAGAGCAGACTGCACATTGCTTCGTCCTAAAGATCCAATTGAAGAAACTCGAGCTCTCATACCGAAGTCAGACTCTATCACATGTACAAAAACCCATCTCGGAAAGACATGCCACCGCCAGTCACAACCCATCACCAGCCTTCGATCTCAACCATTCCACTCTTACTTCCCTGGTACCGAGATAACAGTCAATCCCTCACCGTCATATTCCCCTGCAGTCTCAACTCCCACACGCAGCTGAGCCGGGAATTTGAAGAAGTAGATCCCAGTCACCGCAATCATGGGCACCGCATCAAACAGATACGCCGTCCACTCATGCGACATGATATACCCATCCACACCCTCACCATACTCGACCAGCCGGAAGATGGAGCGAATCATAATCAACCCACTAACCGCATACAACATCCTCATAACCCCCAACCAATCAACATCTCTCTCCACCCTCCTCGCCATATTAGCAACAAGTCTACGGTGAAAGATCACCGCCGTAACCATAAACAATCCAAACGACAAAACCTGAATAACCAACCCCAAAATCACCATCGCCTTTCCAACCGTGGCCAGGTTTTGGATAATCAGCATACCCGCGGCACCACCCTGGATGAGAAAGGACAGCACATCACCCAGCACAAACGTCTTTGTCAACCATTTTGCAGGAATTATGGAGTAGGATTCCGCGTGGAGGTGGCGGACCAAGCGGCCGAAACACATGTAGATGGATGCGGCGAATAGGGTGGGTGCGATGAGGATCCAAGATGACTGGATGGAAAATGTCATCAAGGAGTCGGTTCTACCGGCGGCGCTCGCTCGGGCGGCGTAGCCTACGAACTCCACTGTTGCTGTATATCAGCAATGGTATTGGATGGGTGAAGAGATTATGACGGGGAGATTGAGAAGGGCAAGAAAGGGGGGATGAGCTTACTGAAACAGCCAATGACAAGGGGGATGCAGAACCAAGTTTTGTTCTTCCATGTTTTGTAGCCGTTGAGAGCAGTCGTGCAGATGAAGAGGAGGATAAAGATGACGGCTCCTGCGATGGAAGGCACGTATTTCCAGAGGTAGTAGTCTCCACTGTAAGGCAAGAGTTTGGCCATTCTTGTGTCTGAGCGGAGTTGATAGAGTAGTGTGTTTGAGAATATGAGCAAAAGTTTCAAGCAGAAATGTGCCGGTGGTCGTGAAGTGAAGCTGTAGAATGCGATGAAGGCTTCGATGTCAGACTCGATGTAGAACGCAATGTAGACTGGATGTGAGAAGATGGAAAGAACAAAGCGAGCGAGGACAAGTCCAGTCTTTTGACCTGCCTCTTCTGCACTATCAATCAGGCAGGCAGACATATCCTCAACGTCTATTATAGTCAAATTGCACTGCTGAAACAGCGAACCTGCAGCTGTATCTATTATGATACCCGATTTAGAGGTCCGAATACCATATACGCTAAAGCATTACCTAGATACGCTGACGAATACGCCAATGGGTGGATGAGAATACGCGTATTCGCTAAGATGTCCCAGCGTATATGGCGTATATGGTATATGGTATAAGCACTGGCAGGCAACAACACTCAGCCACGACCAAGAACGAAACGTTCGTGAACAGGATGAGCACATGTCGACGAAGCTTTGAAGTTTCACATATAAGAAACAAGCACTCGTTCGCCAAATTCGAGTTCAGCTTTTCCAACACCCCTGTTCGCGTCTCGCTTGTACTTTCCAAAACCAATGGCGCCGCTCTTCAATATTCTGTCATTCTTGGTCTCTGCTGAAACCACTACACAATCTGTTTTTGCTGTTCCGACAACGGGAAAATTTGCCCACTCATCATGTCATCCGAGCGTCTTTTCATTCCCAACTATCCCTGGAGCAGAGGTGATCAATATCTCCGCCAGCTCGATTCTTAACTACACACAAACGTCCCTCCTCCCAGGCACCGAAGAAATAAAATCATACACTATCTTCCTTCTGCAACGTCACTGTTACCTACAAACACACTTCCCACAACGAAACCATAAGCGTCTCCATCTGGGCCCCTAAACCAGACGATTGGAATAGACGTATACTAGCACTCGGCGGAGGTGGATACGCCGCTACATTCGACCACCTTTACCAGACCGCTGCTGTGGGAAAAGGATTCGTAGCTATCGGTACAGATTCTGGCCATCCCTCTGGTATGACGTCCGCTTTCGACACTTCCTGGGCCCTCGACGCAGATGGCAACAGCAATACCCGTCTCATCGAAGATTGGGGATTCAGAACATTAGGGGAAATGAGTGTGATTGGAAAACACATCGTCGAGGAATACTATAATCGCTTGCCTGATTATGCGTACTTCACCGGCTGCTCAGGGGGAGGAAGACAAGGGTTGGTGTTGGCGCAGCGATATCCGAAAGCTTTCGATGGCATACTGGCTGCTGCACCGGCTATCAATCTCGAGACGTTTATTCCTGCTGCGTATTGGCCTACACAGGTGATGCGTGAGTTAAAAGTCTACCCAGCTCCCTGCGAGATTGAAGCGTTTACTGTTGCTGCGATCCAGCAGTGCGACGCGCTCGATGGAGATGAAGATGGAACTATCTCGATGCCAGAGTCTTGTCATTTCGAAGCTTCGAGGCTGATTGGCAAAGAGCTTTCTTGTGATGGCGAGCAGAGGAGGTTTACAAAGGAAGCGGCGATGAGCGTGCGGTAGAGTTGAGAGTACTGACGAGCAGCTCGAAGGGCTTGAACATGAGTAAACCATTGTGTCCACATCGTTTGTGCTTAGACAGACGTAGCTAATTCCACTTGATCAGATTCCGCGTGATCGATCAAAGACCATAATTCCCCATTTAGCATGCCTTCCAATGACCATTCCTGTGTAGACGAAATGGTATCTTTGTCTTTATCCACGAACAAGCTAAATTTCCACGCATCAGGCTGTTGAGTCGAGAGCAGATTCACATGACTCAACTTCTGCAACCCGGCATGAGTAGCAACATCTGTAGTCTCTACAACTACAATCTGCACACTGCTTCCTGAGTAGGCACCAGGATCTCTCGGCCAAAACCCCTCATCATTATCCCAGTCCGGTCGAGACAAGACGACTTTCTCCAGCATCGGCATACGCCATAAGGCGTCTCTGAAGTCTCTCCCAATTTCACGGTTGTACAGACTCAAGTAGCGTAGCTTGGTCCACTTTTCGAACATGATGTCGTTTTTCCAAAGTTCATAGTCGTCCTCGGGATCGGCAACGTGTTCGAAAGCGGGGTCCCGGTATGCAAGGAATAGTTCATCTCTCACGCTGGAGAATTCCTCAAGATTGACCAGTCGCTCAAAGCCTCGTCGCAGTATTGGCCGCAGCTTTTCGGTCACGTCCTCTTGCGGATAGTGAGAGCGAAGCGGCATATCGACGATCAAACGCTTGAGGCTCGGTGCCAATAGCGTAAACAGTTCTGTAATCTGTTCGACAACCTTTCGCTCCCTGATTGTGCGACCCGAGAATGGTGAAATATAAAGCCGATCAATGCGTGCGAGTGGAATAGGACAATTCGATGTCGAGAGCGACTTTGTAAGAAGAGAATCAAGGCGCCAAGGTGTGTCGATGTAGAGGCAATGGGTATAGAGTGAGAGCTTCGCGATGTGACTAGTAGCTTTGGAGACCGTAATAAGCGATACCAGTGTTTTTGTTGTTGGGTGCGATGATGGATACGCTAGGTAATTCGCATCAGGTATGATGTACTGGATGATCTGGTCCAAGACTTCAACGGGTAGATGTGCTTGACTGACCTCCATGATCTCGTATATGCGGCGAAGAATCAGCTTGATATTGGTCAAGTTCAGGAGATCAGGATGCGAAGAGAAGGGAAGGTTGAAAGTTAAGCGCCGAGCAAGCAGGTGCGAAGCTTGGATCTAGCCTCGGCCGAAACGAAGCACAGAGTCTATTCTTGGCCAGTATAAAATAACAGGCACACGTCTGTGAAGAATTGAATTTGGAACATGGTTGGAGAAGAGGCTGAGCCTTTTTGTATCCTCTTGCTAAATGATCAGGACATATCCGTCGAATATAAAGGATGGGATGCCGCTGAGGTCGGAGGCTCTACAGAGTAGGAACAGTAATGAGGTACAATCTATCCTTACCAAGACGACCCATACCCTCCTTCTCAGCCTCTTCCACAACAGGTAGCAGCTCCTGAGTAGCATTGATATGACGACCAGTAAGCACCCTGTAGCGAGGGTCCGCTGCCAAAGCAACCATGGTATCAGCACACAACTCAGGTGTCTGACGCTTGATATCAGCACTAGACACCATGCCCAAGAAACTCTGCATGGCCGGATGCGAGATATGTGCCTTATTAATCGCGTTCTCAGCAGCGCCTAGCTCAGTCTTGACCATGCCAGGATGCACAGCAAAGGACAAGACATTTGTCTCCTTGAGCTCCTGAGCCAAAGACTCGTGGAACTTGCTGATGGCAGCCTTGGACGACGAGTAAGCTGTCATGACAGGCAAAGACAAGGTAGCCACAGCAGACCCAGTGGTGAGAAGCACGCCCGTGTTCCGCTCAATCATTGAAGGCAGTACTGCGCGGATCAACGACACCGGAGCGCGCACATTGACTTCGTAGACACGCCACCAGATGTCTAGATCATCCTCTTCAACGACCAAAGGGCTGATGCGCGAAATGCCTGCGTTGTTAACGAGGATGTCTATTGGTCCTAGCTCTTTCTCAACTTGCGAGACGATATTTTGGGCGGCGCCTTTGGCCGTGACGTCGGCGACGATTGAGATTGCTTTGCCGTTGGCTGATTTGATTTCGTCGACAAGGGTGAGGAGGTCTTTTTCGCGACGGGCGACTGCGGCGATGGATGCGCCGGCGGCAGCGAAGGCTTTGGCGATGGAGCGACCGAGGCCGACCGATGAGCCGGTTACGACGACCTGAGAGCGAGGTTAGTCTGACTGCTCAGCTTTGCTCTTGTTGAAAGTCGTCGACGAACCACTTTTCCATCAAGCTTGCCGATATACTTGGCCGGAGCAATGACAGGATAGCTCTCATAGACGTCGGGAAGGATGGAGTCTGCGCTGGATGCCATGGTTGGAGTTTTAATCTGGTGTTGAGATCTGGATGAGAAAGGTCAACGTAATGGCAGCTAGGTCACTCTTATATCTCTGCGCTGCCTCTGCAGGAGCTCGTGATCCAATGAAAGCACCAAGAATGCTGCATCCTACGCTTGTTGACCCGAGCCATTGCGGCGGTAAAGACGAAGAAGTTGAAGCTCAACACAGCCAAAACATCACAAACGAACATCGTCACACCAAGCAACACCACCGGCGTTAGCGGATATAAGCATCCGCCGGCAACACTATCAAAAGCCGTCTGCAACTCGGCCTGATGGTTGTGCCTGGTAAGGAATGTGGTGTTTCCAAATGAAGACTCAGATAACAATTCTCAGTCATGACTGATCTGATACAATCATATTCGCCTACCAAGCATGATTAAGCTGTAGTCAGGGCTTGATGTTGAAGCTTGCTGCCTAGAGAGGTGCGTCGAAGGAGCAATGAAACGAAAATGTTGGGATGCAGGATTGCGATGAGCCTGATACTGTAGGCGAGACTCTCGAAGAGAAGGAAGATCGTCTTCAGTAGGCAGTCCTGCGATGAGGTTGCGTTCGTACGTGAGGTGCTTTGAAGGTTGCTTAGAATTGAAGCTGGCTGAAAAAGGAAGCTGCGACGGATGTACCGGCATGCTCGGCCGAACATGTCAACGCGGCCTTGTGTTTTTTGAAGGACTATCCTCTATGACTCTCATCCTTGGATGTTTATTTTCGCTCCTTGTCGCACAAGAAATCTTTGACTGCTTAAGGATACTTTTGGATCACACAAGTCTGCAAGTACAGGAATCCTCGTATACGCGCCCGAACCAGAACGCGTCGAGCTTACATCTGACATCGGCATGACCAACTGCTGAGGCTGAAGAAATATACTCGACCTGATACATCTCATGACAATGTTTGCCAGGCTCAAAGATGAACTGGGTATTGAGACCCTGCTCTCGGCCCCAAGAGATGTCCACCTCATCCTTCTCACAAGATCTCTCCGCATGTTCGCCTACGGCTCCAGTACCCTGATCCTCGCCCTCCATCTTTCCGCCCTCAAAAACTCGGATACCCTGATTGGAATCTTCATGTCCCTGACACTCGTGGGAGATGTTTTCATCTCCTTACTGCTCACTTTCGTCGCCGACTCTCTGGGTCGACGAAAGATTCTCCTCGTTGGCTCTGTTACTATGGCACTCAGTGGTGTTGTTTTCGCGACGCAGAGCAGTTTTGCGGTTTTGTTGATTGCTGCGGTTATTGGCGTCATTTCACCGAGTGGGAACGAGATTGGCCCTTTTCGTGCTGTGGAGGAGAGTACGCTTGCTCATCTCATACCTGCCGCGCAACGTAGTGATATATTCGCCTGGTATGTCGTGGTTGGAACTTTTGGTACCAGCGTTGGTGCTCTCCTCGGTGGCTGGCTGGTCTCTGGATTGGATTCTCAAGGCAATGATACGTTGGGCAGCTATCAGGTTGTCTTCTGGTTGTACGCCTTGATAGGCTGCGTAAAGTCTGGGATTACATTCTTGCTCAGCAGCGCTTGCGAGCTAGAGAAGGTAGAGCAAAAGCAGAGCTCCGAGACCGGAAATCAAGAGGAGACAGAAACGTTCATCCAACAACCCCAATCGTCATCATCAGCAACAGCATCCAAACCATCAAGCAAATTCGCATTCACCAACATCAGCCCATCATCCCGAAAGACCCTCCTCAAGCTCGCAGGACTCTTCAGCATCGACAGTCTAGCCTCAGGAATGGCCTCCGTATCCTTAACCACATACTTCCTAGCAGAAAAATTCGGCTCTCCGCCTTCATCTCTAGGCACCATCACAGCCGTAGCTTCCCTGATGTCCAGTATCGGCAATATCGCTGCCTCCAGCGTGTCCAAACGCATCGGCTTCATCTACACAATGGTCTTTACACATTTGCCCTCTGCTATCTTTCTCGCTATGATGCCTGCACCGCATTCTCTGGGCTTGACTGTATTCTTCATCGTCGCAAGAGCGACTTTGGCATCGATGGATCAGGCGCCTAGATCTGCGTTTTTGTCTGCTGTCGTGCAGCCTTCGGAGAGGACTGCAGTGATGGGTACGCTGAATACTGTAAAGACTGCAGCGCAGAGTGCTGGACCCCTGCTCACTGGTGTACTGGCACAAAACAAACATTTCGGTGTCGCGTTCGTCATTGCTGGTGTCATGAAAGCTGGGTATGATTTGGGATTACTGCATTGGTTTGCTGAGAGCAAGATGAGAGGAGGATCTGCTGATGAAGCGAGAGATAGAGCAAGGCAGCAAGAGGATGAGGAAGGGCAAGAACTGAGATGAAAAGTACACTGGAAGAGCGTATCGTAAGTACAAATTTATGCTTGACTCATTCTGTCCTACCTGCAAAGGTAACAGCGTTTCTCTAATACTTGCTCGCTTGAATGTCTGCTCGATATGACTTCACGCTGCAGAGTCGAATCGTAGTCGCTCACAAGACTAATTGGGTTGTTGCACATGTGTGCCTGCCTTCTCCGAGAATGCCAAGACCTGGTGATCCTTGTTCTTATCAAGCCACAATCTGTTTTTACCATCAACCGCTTTCTTCCCTGAACAAGCGTGTTCCCCCCATGGTACATCGATGTGTACTTAATGCAGACTTGTAATACTCTAGCATCTGATTCGTCGTCTTCCAGCACACCCCCAAAATCGAACACCTAGAAGGATGGCCGAGGAATTTATGGTCGTCAAACTGGAGTTAACCTTGAAGCACTTTTTCGAGCGAATTGGAAGCCTCACCACCTGTGGGGTAGGCTGTTCACGTGGCTGTTCCACTGCGATATCACCAGGAATAGCAGTCCTCCGTTTGGTGCGATCTGTTCTGCCCTCGTTTATCCAATTGGACGACTACAACCCACCCGGCCACCTCATGTACCAGTGTACACAGCAACGTATTCATGGCGTCTGATTGTTCACGTTTCTGGGGCCAAGTCTTCCTTCTAGACGAATCTCTGCGGAGTAACAGGAACAAAAGAAGCCAAGATCATGGCCACGCAACACTTGGCCACCATGAATAGCTATGATGTTTCGATACCACGGATGTTTTGTTACGCCGTTACATCTGAACAAGCGTATGCTTACCCGTCCTCTGAGCGTCGAGGGGCTCTCAAATCATGGTATTTCGTGCGAGACATAATTCCGGCCTCTTGTGGTTGAAACCACCCTAATGATACAGCACTTTCCCTCCAAGCACTGCCCACGTTCTGTGCTGAACGTGGCTTGGAAGCCACCGACGAATACAGCCACCATTCATGGCTCCTCTGACTGCGCATAAGGTGTGCCTCAGCCTTTCCGCGGGCAGTGATAAACCCCTTGGAGGTCGCACCGGTGTAAGTCAACTACCGACATGTCTCAATCATCGCCGGATCACATAACGACATCAACTACAGCCATTGATTCATCAACTGAGCCTACAGAATCGATCTCACTTCTTGGAAGTGTGACTCGTCGCGCGACATGGCCGTTTCCGCGTGATGAAATCTGCAATCTCGACTCTGCTTCCAGTCCTCTCAACGTTGGAGCCAGGGACGCAACAGACAACTATTACCGTGTAGACGACGAAGACGAGGTTGATTACAGCGAATCGAACGGTAGTGACTCTGATAATACTCAGACAACAGAGCATCGTAAGATTCCTCGGCCACGTACATGCTCCGGCTTGCTAATCAATCTGCAGTACGTTTCGATCCCATCCTTCCACCTGAGGGCTATACACCCCTGGACTTTCGTCCAACTATGTTGACTCATCGAATCCTCTGGTCCCTTGTACTTTTCTATCTCGCCACCCTCGGTCTGCTCGCTTATCTCTTCTATCGCTCCCATCTTGAATTGGTCTGGAGGGTTCGCAATGTCAATTATTACCTCGCAGCACGCTATCTTCCGGCAGTGATAGGTGTTGTGGCCATTACACTGTTTCGTAGCACTGTGACGACACTAAAAAGAATGCTTCCTTTCTTCAACATGGCGGATCAGAAAAAATCAGAAGTTAAAGATTCTGGGATCACACATACCGTTTGTGCCCGGTATTTTCCCAACTCCCATTCGTTTTTCAGCGACCCGACTCCATTCATGCTCTTTGGTGTGATGTTCATTGGATTCACGATAGCTTTCAAAGCGACCTTGTTCTCAGTACAAGAAACCGGAGACGGGACCTGGCTGATCGCTATCAGACCCTCGCCAGCGATCTACTTATGTGCCAGCTACCTGCTGATGTTTTTGATCACCACCTATATCGCAATCAAATATGGATCTCGGAATACGGGACTGAAAAAGGATTGGGATCCGACCTCTCTGGCTGACATAATCTTGCTTTTCGCAACTGTTGAAAGCAAGCCCACGTGGAAAGAAGGTCTCAACTTTGAACGCTGGCATAAGCTAATGAAGTGTTCTGAAGCGAGATACCGGCTTGGTTACTGGGAAATCACAAACTTACAGTGTTTGGAGCCCTCTGTAGTCTACGGCATCAGACGTTTAGACACTCCTGACCCAAGAACAGATGCGGAACACATGTCAAACTTCGAGAGCCAGATGAACCAGCAAGGTCGCTTATGTCTAGATTGCAGGCAAGGTTGCTTGTGTCTAGATTGCAGTTCTTGTCTTGCACGATTGGCCCAAGCCGAGAGCTTACAACTCCCGCGACTCTCGCCACAGAAAGAGGCGCCTGATCAAGTCATCTGCTGTCAGAAAGCACCATACTGTTCGCACTATCCCTACCGAAAGGCACCTTTCGCCCTTACGTTCTCACAAATAATCTTGATGTATGCCTTCCTCCTTGTTCTCGCCGCAAGTCTTGCCTGTGCTTTGCTACGGATATGGACACACAAAGGTATCATATTCCAGAGCCAAACATGGATTATACAGTCAAACGACTTGCCTGCTTTCGCCAATGGTACCCAGGTCATCACTTCTGGGGAGCCGTGGGCTCCTTTATCCAATCCAGTCTCTCGCTTAGACAAGGCGGCCATGATTCGAGATAGCCTAGCTGTCATCTTCCTCAGAGTTGTGCCGATTGCTGGGCTTGGCATGGTATCAAACGGGATTGCGGTACTGGACATCCATCATCGATGGGTGCAACCATTCACCAACATGTACAGAGGACCAAGTTCGGTCACAGACTCTCTACTGCTGGACTATATGACCGTCTCTCCTCTAGAAGTGTTGCCTCAAGCCTGGACCAACAAGCACTACAAGGTTCTCTACTTCGGTATCCTGAGCGCTCTCAATTGGGTGCCCCCGTTGACGATAACCGGACTTTGCTCGGTCACCGAGACAGGTTCTCAGGTGATCGTACAAGTTTCACCCGTCGCAGCGTGTCTTGCAATATTCTGGGCGTTACTATATGCCGTCTCTTTGACGACCAACTGGGCCCCACCCGAGCGAAAACTTCCAAGGATCTGCGGCAGCTTGTACGATCTCTTCACTTTCTTCTATGCTAGCCGGTTGCGCTGGCTGCCCGAGTTTGGGCATGCTGCGTTCAGTAAGACCCTCACGAAGGCTGACTTCCATGCCCATCTACTCTTGGCGAGACATGAATTCCTCTTTGGTTTGGTCGCAGGACAGGAAACTTCTCATCATGGCTTTGACATAGCCAGTCATGTGGTCCGGATAAAGCCTGTTCGCCGCTTCCGAAAGACGCGGCCGAGTGATCGTGATGCTGATCCTGAGGCTATACAAATGGATACACTCAGTGCTTCAGAATCTTTGCACGACGGGGATTAACCGATGGACGAAGACTCGCCAGCAAGTGGCCGCTCGAGCGCAATCGAATGAGGCAGGTTCGCGACAAAGCTTCAAATTCATGTCGCACAAATATCTAGAATTGGGAAGAGAGATTTAGCTTAAGGAGTTTTAATTCTAATCGTGTTTTGTATAGCTTCTATAGATCATCACCAGGGACGGATTTTCGATACCGAGTTCGTTACTCGTACATCACCAGGAGAGCCGAATAGCCTTGTCCGCAGCCGTCAGTATCACGTTACTCGTTTGGATTTCGTCTTCCTCCATTTTTCCATCTGCGCTTCAAATGAAGCATGTCCGATCGCACTCTTACACTCCGCTTCCTCGATGAATGTCTCTTCACCCGCAGCCAAACCAACCACATAGCCTACATCCTTCACCACCACTTGTTACGCGAAAGGTTGCTAGAATGCACGACGATTCTTAGGCCGGATCCTTTCCAGTAGGAGTATGGAGAATAGTTGATGAGTGCCACAGATCACGTTGTGCAAAAGCGTCACGCTTCCAGGCAACCTTGATCTCAATGAATATCGCGGAAGGACGGCGAAGATGACAGGTTTCTGAATCACCAGCTTGCCAGAGCTTTTTGCCTGGTGGCCCGAACCACGCAACATGAACAACTTGTTGCAAGATCGTTGAGCCTTCAGAAAATGGTTACTGGTAGGTGGTAGGGAAACAAGAGAGGTTGTCAGATCGTATTGGGAATCGAGCATCCGGTTGAATACCGGCTGAATTCAGAAGCATCCTGCCCACAATTTCGGCTTCGAAGTTCGCGCCTGCCTTTGTTTGTCAAGCCTTAAGATCAGTCTGCATCCACGTACAACAGGCGATGTCGAAATCTTAGCAGAAAACATGCCTCTGGATGGATATTACTGCTGCTCAAGAGTTCGAGAGCAAGTCGTCAAGACACTGGAGTACCGAGAATGAGCGATATGTCCTGATTTGATGAACCACACGTAAACAGCATCTCATTACGTGCTACCAGCCGACGCATATTTGATGCGTGCTAAATGGTCCCCAGATTGCTTGATGCCCGCCGGTATGTCCGGTATTTGTATACCCCCACGTCTTGTCCTGCGGCAGGAAGTCCGACAAGGGCGGTGCAGGATTTCGCGAACACAGGGGACATCAAGATTCAACATCATGATTGATCGACCGAAGTTACATCCAGAAGATGTCAAACCGTCCGTCCTGTCGATCACCTTGGCCAGCCTGTTCTGAAACTAATATGTCACTTCACCCCTTGGCAACTCGCGGCTGGTTCAAGCATCCTCAGTTCATCCTCGATTCAACAACAATTTTAAGCACAAACGAAGGAACCTCGGAGTTGCAATTCAACCTTGGACAGCATCGGAACCGAGGCATCATACTGAGTTCAAGAGGCGTCAGTCCTCTCTGCAGCTAAAGCTTGCCTCATCCTGGGCGACGCCGAACCGTGGCTTTTTAGACATGTCTACCAATGACTTGGTATCACGCGACAATGTAACTGGTTAACGAGGAAGCAAAACAAATGTCGCCAATACCATCGAGGAGCCTCGGTAGCAATGTTGGATCTCAAATGATCGTTGAAGTCAAGCACACGAAGAACTGGATCGAGAGCACGCCAAGAGTAACTCTTCTGGTGTACACAAGAGACATCTCATCGGTGTTTGTCGTACGGCGGAGGAGTATCATCACTCGGAAGGGTGTCATCCGATAATCTTCTCGCAGACCTGCAGTCCTGCATGTGTACATAAGCATGTCTCGACTTACGCGACCTCTTGAGACGCCTGCTCTCATCTTCGAGGGTTCCGTGTTGTTCACAGAAAGGAGAGATAAACATGCGACTCTCTGCTTCTGGTTCCCAATTCACACCAGGAAAACCAACGGGCTGCGACCGCAACGTCCGAGGCAACTTTCTCTTTTCTCTTCGTACATTTACGACCGCCAAGTGCACTTCTTGAGGCCAAGGCTCTTGGTATCAATGGTTTGACCGGTTACCAAGCAAAAAGACAACTCCAGCCGTGTTTTCTCAGCCAAATCGCAGAGCCAAGATCTCCTCCACACTGGGGTACCCCGCTTCTCCACAGCCTCAGCTACTTTCCAGGCGCGTTTTGGGAAGACCGTGCTTCCTGGCAAACTCTCCCTATCACATTCTTAACGTTCGATCATGCGTCTTGTGCCACTACTTTCCGGAGACGCCGTGGCAGAGACATGCGGAATTCTACCATCCTGATGCACGTCGACTATCCTTCCCTGTCGCTCTTGCTCCAGATCTAGAGAGGGAATGGCAAGTCAAGGAAGGTGTCAAAAATGTACTCTCCGAATCTATGGCCTAGGGAAATCTGGCCATTTAGATCAACATCGGCGTGCGCGACATGCCACACGTGGCGGCGCTTGTCGCTCTCCCGGACCTCTTTGAGAGGAAAAGTTTAACTAACGCCTCCTCTGCGGGGTAAACAGTATCAGTCTTGGCTAGGGGCATATATAAACACCGAGACCGCTCCAGCAATCAATCTTGTAGCTCCTTATCAGTACCCCAATCATATACTTGGGTCACCACATCAGTCAATTATGGCAACAAACCACCACGAGGAGAAGGATATCTCCATCAACTACCTCGAGCAGGTGGACACTGCTGGAGACACTGCATCCGACAAGATCAACGATGCCCGTATTGAGGCTTTCACCCCGGAAGAGCAGAAGAAGATTATCTGGAGAATTGACCGTCGCCTGGTCTTGACTCTTGGTTTCCTGTACTGTGTCAGTTTGATGGATCGTACCAACACGGGTATTGCCGTCGTTGCTGGTATGGGAGTCGACCTTCTTCTCATCAAGGACCGATACTCGATCATCGTCCTCGTTTTCTTCATCCCTTACGTCTTCTTCCAACCTCCAGCAACCGTCATCCTCCGCAAAGTTGGCCCTCGCGCTTTCTTGCCTACCATCACTCTATTCTGGGGAATCACCATGATCGGAATGGCTTTCGTCAAGACCTGGACACAATTGATCCCCCTCCGTATCCTTCTGGGTATCTTCGAGGCTGGCTTCTTCCCTGGTTGTGCGTACCTCTTGTCGTGTTGGTACCCTAGATACATGCTTCAGAAGCGTAACGCCGTCTTCTACCTGATTGGATCTCTTTCTTCTGCTTTCTCTGGTATCCTCGCATACGGATTCAGTCAGATGGCCGGCCTTGGAGTCGGTGATGGTCTTGGTGCTCACTACGGACCTGACAAGCTCCACCCTACACGCCCCAGAGGCATCGGCCCTGGTCTCGCAGGTTGGCGTTGGATCTTTATCATGCAAGGACTGATCACCTGCATCCTCGCCATCGGTGCATACTTTACCATCGTCAACTTCCCTGAGAAGGCTGCACATGTTGGCTTTGGCCCCAAGTTCCTCAATCAGAAGGAAGTCGACTTCATTGTCGCTACCATCGAAAAGGATCGTCACGATGCCATCCCCGAGGAGTTCAAAGTTGGTCAATACCTGAAGAGTGCTGGTGATCTCAAGGTTTGGGGATTCGCTGCTCTCTTCGGTCTCACCACCACCGTTACTTACGCCATCGCTTACTTCCTTCCTATCATCCTCGAGGCTGGCATGGGATTCAACAAGCGTGATGCCCAATGCTTGATCGCACCTCCCTATGTTCTCGCTGCCATCGTCACCTTCGCATTCGCCTGGTTCGCCGACAAATACCGCATCAGATCCCCCTTCATTATTGCCAACGCCGTTCTTATGATCATCGGTCTCACCTGCCTTGGCTTTGCAAAGTCTGTCGGCGTTCGCTACTTCGGTGTCTTCCTTGCCACAGCCGGCTGCAACGCCAACGTTCCTGCCGTTCTCACCTGGCAAGCCAACAACATCCGCGGCCAGTGGAAGCGCGCTCTCACATCTGCTACCTTGGTCGGCGCAGGTGGTATCGGTGGTATCATCGGATCGACCGTGTTCCGCAAGCAAGATTCTCCCGGATACCGCCCCGGTATCTACGCTACCCTTGGCGCAAGTGTTTTGATCATCATCATCTCGCTTCTTTTGGATCTGAAGTTCTGGCGTGCCAACAAGAGAGCCGCTGCAGGTGGTAAGGTCATTGAGGGCCTCCACGGGTTCAGATACACTCTGTAAATAGCCAGACTGTTATGTATATGAAGGGTGACGACCCTACGATGTAATTATGATTTCAATTGATCCTTAAATAATATGGTTTCCCTGTTCTCTCTACCCAAATAGTGACCCCCGTCAAGAACATCGTCTCATATTGATTAAAGAACGTATGAAATTAATATGGAAGAACATACGAAAGTAAAACGGAAGAACATACGAAATTTGACCGAGTACTCTCAGAGATCCCCCCTCGTGGCCGAGAACGCGACATCAGTGCTGGAGAAAGTGGTCTGGCTATTGAGGTCATCCTCAGTCTTCAGATAGCAGTACTGTTGGTTTCTTCCACTCTGGAACCATACAGCAGCGACGCATCCATCATCAGAGTCGAGGCTGCAAGCTACGATACAGTCGTCCAAAGAATCGGTCACAATTGCTGGGAAAGATCCTGTGCTGTAGTCCATTGTACAGCTGATATCGTAGCTCAGGGATGGAGATGCCGAGTCATCGGTGTAGACAGTACCGCAAACGCTTGTTGGTGTTACAGCAGCCGAAGACGATGTGGTCGATTGACTTTCGGTAGTGGTTGCCGTCTGTGATGAGTCGGTCGTTGAAGAGGTTTCTGTGGTCGAAGGAATATTCTGGCCGCCATTCTCTCCCTTGACCACGAATAGATCCAGCGGTGACATATATGTAGAAACAGAGCTGGCGATATAGAGTCTTCCCACTCCATGATGGTCATCAGCGAGGTTGCTGTCTTGGGAAGCGAATATGCTGTATGTTTCCCCGTGCTGAGTTGCGCCGAAGCAGTACAGCTCGCTGGTAGATTGGTCGATGCTACATGGTAGCGCAGCCCAGTTCTCGTAGGTATCCATGCTGTCCAGAATGAACGCTGCATTCAAAAACAACACTCTACTATAGCCATTGCTGGTGTCGTAGTCGGTATAGTAACTAAGAACGTAGCTGCGATCTTCGTTGAAGATGTATCCGGAATCCTGGTCATACACATAGCGAACTGGTGGGTAGTCTGTGGCATTCATGAAGACTTCTGAGTTCATGCCTCCTTGGTAGGCTAACAAGGGAAACCCGTCAAGGCCACGAGCGCCTGAGTTGGCTACGTATATGGACCCAGTAGGTAACACGACAGCAGTACTTGTGGAAGAGGCGCTTGGAAGGATCTCTGTTGTCGTAGAAGACGATTCGGGAAGTGGCGGGGCCTGAGTCACCTTAGGAACGGTGTCGGTAACGGAAGAGGCAGAATCGATGGCACTGATTGTTGAGATGCTCGTCGTTGAAACAGCTTCTGTAGTGGATGAGGAAACACTTGTAGTAGACTCTGTCGAGAATGGCTCAGACGATGTCAAGCTTGACGACTCCGAGACGGTGCCCACCGCAGCACTGGAGGACTTTTCATCCGAGCTAGTGCTACCCATGCTGCTGCTTGGTGGCGTCCACGGGGTAGGAAGCGTGAGCCAACGGGTCAGCGAAGATGGTGTTGTGAACGACTTGGATGAGGTCTTGGTGGAAGAGCTCGAGATGCTCTTAGACGAGATCGATGAAGTCTTCGAGGGAGAGCTTGAGGTCTTTTTGGAAGTCGTTGAAGTCAAAGTCTTCTTTGTCGAGGTCGAAACCTTCTTAGTTGAAGCTGAAATCTTCTGAGTTGAAGTCTTTTTGATTGAAGTCGAAGTCTTCTTGGTCGAAGTTGAAACAATCTTTCCCTCGATGCAGTTACACAGGTTGACGAGGTCTTTCGCAGCGTATTTTGCGAAAGGAGAGGAAGTTCTGGGATATGAGTTGTAGAAGACGCAGAAATGCCATGGCTCGGTGAATTGGATGCTTATTTCGGCTCTGCATGAAGCCTTTGTCTGCCTTCTCTTAAGATGATGCTCCAAGGTGGCCTGTTCGGTCTGCTCTGCACGCTTATGCTTCGTGGTTGTCTTGATAGGTGTCACACATTTGCAGAGGTTGGTCACCTGAGCCGGAGTAAACTCAAGAAAAGGGGATCTTGTGCGGACACTAGTTTGATAAGTGTTAGAAGTGTGCCGCTGAAAAGACTCTTATCTAAATACTAGATACTTACTCGGATAGCCACCACTTGCAGAAGTACGTCTCATCACTGATGGTACGGCGGACGATCGCAACGTCCCTCGAGGTGCACTTCAAGGCAGCTCGCTCGTCCAACAGCGGCGATGAGTATACACTCATGACGCATGTCATGAACGAGATCACGGACAGAATCCGTGAAGCGTGCATCTTGGTGGGAACGAGGCGGAGTATCGTGGATGGAAAGGCCGACCGAGGGAGCCGGTGCCATACTTATAGCATCTCTTTACGCGACTACATTCTCAGAGATGCCACACAGGGTTCGAGAAGTGACCTAGCCGACGGAGCATTCATCTCACATTAGAAGCCAACGGTCAACAACTGTCGGTGACTACCGTAGCGGTAGTGAGTAATGATGTCTCGGAAGCCTCTCGATTCGAATAGTGAATCCTGAAGAGAGCAGACCACTGTTCTTCATTCAACCCATGGTTAGATATCTCTCTCCTTAAACAGCTCGAGAGTGTGTTTCTTGGATATCCAGTGTCCCTCTGATCCATGAGCGTATCGAAGAGAGAGCTGGAGTCTCAAGTGTGTTGACCAAGCGAAATTCGAGGCCATGTGCATTTAATAACTGTTCTGCTCAGCTAGCCACTGTATGGCTACTATCTTCCTAGATCATGCTTGTTCAAACGGCAGGCATGAGGCGCATCAACGGTCAAGAGTAGTGCCCCGGCTGTGGATCCTAGAATGGCAATGTGTTGCTGACAGTCCTACTCTCAACCCTAAATGGAGATGGTTAACAGCACTCCTAACGCCGGATGATGAACTCCTAACTTCCACTGGTCCTCCATCATACATGGATAGACGCCCGAAGATGCCATGAGTCAATCTTCAAGCTCTTTGGAAGTAGGTAGTGCCCTAATACTCAACACTTCCTTTGTATAGTAGTAATTGTATCAGCCCTCAATGATATGATACAGGTCGTTTCTATGGCGGACGAGCTTGTTAGGGTTCCACTGCCGATGCATCTTTGTTGTTCATCACTGAGCCGAGACTCATCGGACTTCGAAGGAAGGATTCAAAAGTCGTTTTGTATGCACCGACTTTGCTTGGCAAGCTGTGTAAGGGGCCGTTGCAGACGCTTCTTCGAGTCATGGACAAACGTTGACAACGTGTTTCGCTTCTGCCGAAGCCTCAACACCTTGGTCGTCTCTTCCTTCCTCAACTTGCAAACCCATCAGAATGGTGTTAGCAAGCCCTCGGTTTTGACCGAGAGTCTACGCGAGAGATCACTATACCAATGCAGCCTGACCGGAGCGCTCGTCTGAGGTGTTGGTCATCCGCCGTTCCAACAAGCTGTACGTGTGTTGAGTACGCGCTCGTCGAGATAGCCCAATTTGTGAATTCGTGCGTGCCCCTTCATTAACCTTCGTCTTTGCCATGGCTTGGCTGTACGACAATCCAGGCAACCAATCCTTCACCAATCCTTCATGAATCCTCCATGAAGCAAATAAAGTGCATTCCCCTGCTCAAGCACTTTGGACACCTTGATTCTTCAGAACAACAGTCGCAGCATTGCAGCACACATTCTCGCTGGCCCTCCTCTCACCTGATTTCTACTACCACGGGTCCCTGACAGACATCCGCGCAACCATGCAGTTGACCGCCGCCATCCTTGTTCTGTCAACAATCTTGACGTGCCATCAAACACTGGCATCAAACATCCAAAAACGGTCCTCGTGCAGCAATTTCACCCTCGCAGCATACGAAGGCCTGCCTTATCTGGACTTACGTCCAGGCCCACACACCCATCGGATAAGCAAAGGCATCGATTGCAAAAACAAGACTGAGAAATGTCCAATCACAGCGGGCGGCTACGTCGGAGAAAAGCCAACATTAAATATCACGACCGACTCTCCTGATTCGATTTTCAAACTCATCGGACATACGAAGAATGGGTATAATTTTACGTCCATACTGTCTGATATTGGCACGCATCACTACGAGATTTTGATCGGGACATCTGGTTGGGTGACATTTACACCTAGGGAGAGTTGTGTGACTGGCACACTTACTGGTTGTGAGGGCGATATCGTCGATGAGACCGTCGTTCGAGCATGTACACCATATCTTCAGGACAATGTGATTGATGGGAAATTCGCCTGGGCTGAGAGAGTTCCCTCGGAGTACGACTTGAGCTGCAATCCGGCCAACACAACTGCTGCTAAGACTTCTGGAAATGCTACAGATTGTGAGTCTGATGTGAAGGACGACGACAAGAAGAACGTGGCTGGTTCACTGAATCGTACGTACCTCTGTCTCCTCATTGCGGCTTTCGGACTTGTAGTCTTTGTTGTCTAGAAATTCGACTATGATAGCAAAGACTTTGGCTCGTTCCAACCGCCTCGCAAACAGCAAAGAAATCCGAAAACTATGCAGACGCTCACGCCAAACGCGACAGGAAAATCCGTGAAGCCGAAGCCAAATATAAGGAAGAAGTACACAAACTAGAGGAAAAATTTACAAGATGAGTTACGAAAAAGAAGCAGGCAAGCCGGAGAAACAAGCAAAGGCCCGTCGAGGGTTTGATGAAGAGATGCGTAAGTTAGAGAGGAAGGAAGGAGGAAAGGTGCGTGAAGACATCAGAGATGCGGATGAGGAGGTTTCGAAATTGCGGGAGGATGAAAATAAAGAGGCGGAGCATTTGTGTTGGATTGTGGTTACGCCTTTGGGGTGGGGGAATACTGCTACGGCGAATCATGGTGCAGCGATGAGGCTCAAGGCTGGAGATAAGGTCAAGAAGCATTTTATCGCCTCTTTGTTTGGATAGAGAGGTGTCAAGTTGATGTTTTTCGATTGGATGTTTACACAAATTATTGAGTTGGAAGAATACTGTTACGAAGCCAGCCAAGACTTTTGACCTCCTTGTCTTGGGAATACTTTTGAATGTTTAACACCAACTTATTCTTTCTATACTTCTATTCTACTGCACCGAGCAAATCTGTAAGTAATACAAAGCACCTGTTTTGACTGAAAGTCTTCCGTCCGTTGAGCTCCAGAAAACTTCATGTCTATCCTTTCAAGATTCATGGGAACTCGTCTTCTCAGCGCTGCCTTGGCACGATCCTGCCGACCTCGGAGTGATATAAATTTGGAGCGACATGTCAACTTTCCTTATCAGATCCGACAACGACAACAATCCACCACACCCCGATTCAGATCCACAACCATGTCTGCAACCACAGGATCTCCAATCACTCTCCCCAACGCCACACAACACGACCTCACAAACTCCTTCACTGGTCTAAACTACCGCATCCAAATATCTTGGCCTTTGAACTGGGATCGCACAAAACAACTCCGCAACTCCAAGATCCCAGTGATCTACATCCTAGACGGCAATGCCCTTTTCCTCACCGCGACAGAAATTCTCTGGCGAAGTGCGAGTAATTCGTTCTATCACGGCGGCGGCATAATAGTCGCGATCGGGTACCAGAATATTCCGACCGAGACGGGGAGTTTGTTCAGTAGTCAGCGGAATACGGACCTGACTATCAATGAGCATGAAGTACATGCTGGGTTGGGCGGAGCTGATGCATTCTTGGAGTTTATTGGGAGGGAGGTGAGACCGTTGGTGAAGGAGCAGTTCAAAGATGTGGAGACTGGAGAGGAGGCGATCTTCGGACATTCGTTTGGTGGATTGTGTGTGTTGCATTCGCTGTTTAGCAAGAAGGGAGGCGCATTCGATGCGTACTTTGCGGCCAGTCCGTCGGTGTGGTGGGATGCAGCAATTGTCGAAGAGACGGAGAAGTTCTGCAATGCCCAAAGCAAAGATTCGCAGGGCTCTTTGCAAATATCCTACGGAGCACTGGAACAGAGACCGACAAGGTCGAATGTAGAGTCGGATGTTGAATTTGAAGAAAGGCAAAAGCGCTGTACGGAACGCAAGATGGGAGACAATGCTGTTGAGCTGGAGAAGAAGCTACGGAGCAGCGGAAAGTTGACGATGGTGTCCATCACCGAGTTCGAAGGAGAAGATCATGGCACGGTTGCGACATCTGCTTTGCTCAGGGCATTGAGCACCTTTTTCGATCATTGATGGCCAGAATTTTCCTTACAAGCAGGCCCATGGGCCTTTGAAGTACTTCTGTATCGCAAACGACTGGATCAATATTCGACATCCCTCTTCTGGACATCAAAACAGCCACAGGAACAATGTCTATCATGCGCGTCCATGCCTTTGCTGATCAGATGGCCTGTGACTTTTCTGTAAACATGGAACCAGCTCAATTTGCATCTTCCCCGACTCTCACGCAAGCTCTCAAAGTTGCAGGCGCACCTGCGATACCGGTGGTTTCGGTGGTAGTCTAGTGCGAAGGCAGTGACCCTGCAGATTTCCCGAACGTCCGCCTCGGAAGCGTTGGCACGTGGCTCCATCTTACAGGTAAACCAGAAGTCGGGCGTCAAGTGCTTCTGTTTGCCGACGCCATATTGATAGTAGATCTTGTTATTGCGCTTGATCGCTCGGGTCCAGTGAGCTCCAGGCACCGAGCCGACATGTCGTTTGTGGAACGTCCAATCTTCGTTCGATGAGCTGAATGGCTCACAATGTTCGTGCAGCTTCCTTTCCATGACTGGCGAATGTTTGTAGAAATGCACGTTCTGGAGAGCGCTACGTCCTGGCTGCTGTACCGCATACGGTGGTGGCTCGATACGCTCCTCTTCAGCTAGCGCTTTGGTTTGCAGCGGCTCATACGCAGGAAGCACGTCTCTGCACCTGTGACAGCTTGTCTCTACAAGACTGTCATCGCTGATGGTGCTGCAATCCATATTCGATCTAAGAATCCGAGGTTGAACTCCGAGGTTGAAATCCGACTTTCTGTACATGTGGAGAATTGTTGGAGGCGAGGAATGGCAGATGGGAAGCTGACAGTATATTATGGAGCGAGGAAATTTTAGCAGCGTTGATGGGTCATCGTTCAGACTCATCCCCACGTGCACCGCTATCCTTACTTTGAACTCAACGGCGAGGTACTCATCAAACCTCAAAGTCGTTCAAAGTCTCTCAAAGTCACCTGAGGTCTCGGTCAAGTGGTGTCAGATAACACATACAAAGAAGTCTACTCGAGTATAGCTTTGCACGAGTGGCGATCAGAATTCACATTTCTGAATTTCTACTGAGAAGTCAGAGCCAGATAGAAACCATTTGACTCCAGCATGTGATTTCGGTCAACAACACTCTTTGTTCTTCCAGCAAACCATGCTCCGGCTCCAAGTATTGTTCATATGGTCATACTACAACTTGCCGTTGTTCGTCCTCCGGAACATCAAAACAGCCACAAGAACAAACTTCATCATGTTGCCTCATGGCAAACTCCACAAAGCGAGCCAAAAATCTTGTGATCACATGCAATCGGCCAACCGTGCATCTTCCACCACGCGCTCGTAAAGTCTCGAAAGTGCAAGCGCAATTGTGACATCCGCGCCGTCGATGCGAACTCATGTAGCTGGCCGTGATCTGGCACGCACGTCGGATATATTGTTCGCTTTTCCCCTCTCGCGGTATGTTCTTGCAGGTAAAAGAGAAGTCCGGCTGGTCGTCATGTGGTGTTTGATAGTTCTTGCTGACACCGTATTGGTTCCAGGTCTCATCACCACTCTTGACTGTGCGTGTCCAGTAGGCTTTACTGGGCGAGCTTTCCTCGGGAACAAACGTCCATTCCTCAGCCGATAGATCATCCGATAGCTCAAGATTTTGCTCCAGAGTAAGTTTGGACGTCGAGGTCTCGGTGATGGATATTGCGTGACATCCGACATCAAAGCATCCGCAGGAACACATTTTATCATGTTTGTCCATCATCATACGGAACTGAGAGCGCGACATGCTGTATCTGCCCAACGTACACACTTCCTGGACATTGCGGAAATCACAGGAGTCACATCTGCCACCAGTCGGACCTCGATGGAACTTCAGAGCTTTGGCAGTCTCCTCGCAAGCTTTCATGATCTTCTGCTCTGTATAGCCTACACGAGGCATCAATTTGCAGGTGAAGAAGTGACTTGGCTTTCCAGAGGATGGAGTTCGGTCGTTGGCGCTGATCCCACATTGGAACCAGGTCTTGCCGCTTCTTCCAATCGTACGGTGCCAGTAGAATTTGCCATTCCAGCCACTCGATGACCACTTCTTGTCCAAGGTAGAGGCGCTTGTACCACTGTTCTCCATTTCGGTCTTAGGGGTCGATTGAAACTTTTGATAGGTGAAGAACGTATTTCTTGTTGGCAGCAGCTGAGAAGGGGGGGAAAAGAATATGGAGGGGCAACGGCAGATATTTAAAGGCGAGCAGTGAGCAAATATGAGTCAAGCTGTCAGATTATACCTTAGAGTTGGAAGCCACGTGCACCATGGCGTGCCGAACGACTGACGTGCACCACTTACAGCTTCCATCTATATCTGCCTAGTGAGAGCTACGAATCTTGAGGTTCCGCTTTTAGCTCTCACTGGATAAATTCCGACGCAAACGTTTCTGCATTGCGACAGTATGCTTCAAGGCTTAGAATGATCATGAGAGCACTGAGATCTGCTTGTATCATGAGACAACACGACTTATTCTATCTGTCAGTCATTAGTACAATGCAGTCGCATCTCCCACTCTCCCGCGGTTGTCAAGAAAATATCTGCCAAAATGCAGAAACATATTCATTCTCCCTAGAAGGTCCAGAGAAAGCCGACTCTCTTATCTGAAGAACTCACACTCTCACTGGACCCATGCAGAGGTTACAAAATCTTCGTGCATTTCTACAGTATATTCCGAGGGGGAGACCTATGGCGGAGATAGACATTGCAGTCCGAGCCAGAATGTGAAAGGCGAACATTCGTCATCTCCGACCTTGATATACTGGTCGAGAAACAACCTGTCGAAATGTAGAGACCACTTTGAGGTGCTGAAGTGTCCACTGAGAGTCCGAGATTGCTGGACAAAAAGCCGACTCTCACCGGAGGCATGCCGGAATCACAAAAGCATTGTGCATTCATACAAGAACAACTCGAGTGCAGATAAGGGGGGGAAAGTAATACTTCGTTCATACACTCATTGACTGTATGAGCTGACGTAGTATGTAATCACCGATTGCTCTGCATTATCAGCCTCGTTCGTGAGGTAGACATACAGGATCAGTGCATTCTCGTCACAGAAACCTGTGGCTTGTCAGTGTTCATCTTTCACCGAAAAGATAGAAAGTAGACTTACAAGAAATGACTCTTCCACCAACTCGTCCAATACCCAGCACCTTGCCCCAATCTTTGCCATCCAATCTTACAGTAGCCCAGCCTTCGTCGCTGAGACCCTCGGGGTCACCTCTTGCTCGCATTCGAGTACTGGGATGTTGCGCGATACCTTCTTCACCACCTTCGACCGTTGATGGGTCCAGCTCTGGATTGTTGAGGCCAGTCCACCTTGAGCTGATATCCATAGCGTCGGTCTTGAGTCTCAGCCGCAAGCAGCCATGCATATTCGCAGAGAGCTCGAGCTTTGGTGCTCGCGTCGTATTCCCTCGGAAGCCTGTGGAACCGTTTGGCGTTTTTGTGCTCGCGATGGCGAGTTTGGTAAAGCGATCGGATATGGACTTCAGCTGCATGAGCGGTGGAAGGTCGATGTGTACATCCGGCTCTTTCGCACGGGGCTCACGTAGACCTGACACGACAGCTGGTGAGAGCACTTTGATCGGGATGTCTTGGGTAATGGTGGTTTCTCGTTGTGGGCGATCATAGACTGCAGGATCGTCTAGCTCATCGCCCGGAAACTGATCGGCAAACCCGTCGCGGGAGGGGAAGCCTGGATTGTAGCCGTGTTCATCTGACGGATCGTTTCGGGCGGGAGCTTTTGGCGCTCCAGCAAAGATGGACGTTGTGATGGTAAGAGAAAGAAGCGGGATGTTGTTCTTCTTGGTCAGGCGAATTGAGGCATGGCTGGCGTTTTGTGCTGACTTCAACGCGCGATGTAAGTTTTGCAGCGGCACTTCAAGATTGATTGTGTTGTTCTCGGCTGCAGATTGGATCGAGTATGTTTCGAATATCTGGTCCTTGAACTATTTGTTAGATGCCGCAGAGTCATGGGACAAACGATGAACAAACTATCATAAGAACACTGTAGAAGAATCAGTACAAGTTTAACAGGCAAGACAAGAGTCAGACGTACGCCCATACTGAGGAGCCTTGATCAGGAATCACAGTGAGGCGAACATCCTCATCGCTCAATTTGACCCATGCAATCGGACCCAACGATGCGAGCGAGGCGGTCAATTCTGCAAGCTTGTCAGAAATTGTGCTTTCTCAAGCATAGCAGATAATCACTTGTGAAGACGTGGTTGTTTTGGATATCTGCTCGGAAACGCATCTTGATGATGTGGCAGATGTTTGTACGATCAAAGAAGGCCACGCCACATTGATGGTCGAAGATTTGGTTACAGCTTCAGAGGGACGTGTCTGAGGCAGCGTCATTCAGCGCGGGGTCACGTGGTGCAATTTTCCCCATCGGGACATCATTATTTTGGCTTCTATCCAAGTCATACGCGTCTTTTTCTATACATTAGATTGATCATCGTCGTGTCCATCGTTCCCAGAACTTCCACTTCACGGCTTGCTGCCTTCCTTGGCCACTCCTGCCTTTCATTCTCCACCAATATAATGGGAATCCAACCAGGATAAATGCGACCACTATCAGCGTCTGCAGTGGTTGCGCAAAAACAGCTCTACTGAGTAGAAACAAGCTGACGCAGCAGAAAATGATCGGTGTTGTGATCCAACACTTGTATGGTCTCTCAAGATCCGGCTCCTTGACACGGAGAACAATCAAGCCGAGAACTGTAAAGAAGTAGAAGGTGTACCCAGCGACTCCATAGAAGGTGGTGAGGGTTCCAAAGCTACCGATTACAACATAAACCATGGTCAAAGCTGCATTGAGCATCATCGCATATGCTGGTGTGTAGAATAGGCCAACTCCATCGTCGGCGATGAGGCGGGTGAAGCGAGATGCTCGAGAGGGGCGGTAAGGAAGACGGACGGCGCTATCCTTCGAGAAGCCAATCTGTCCAAAGAAGGCGGGTAGATACCCTTCCTTTCCAGCGGCATACACGAGACGACCAGAGGTGAAGGTCGTGGCGTTGAGACTGCCAAAGCACGATGCAGCTACAACTAGAGCAAGAATGAAGGAGCCAACAGGACCAAGAACGAAGCGGCCGAATGCCACGGCGACAGTATTGGACGAGTTGATGGTGGCCAGAGGCAAAACAAAGAAGTAAGCGACGTTGGCGAGCAGATAAGAAAGCAGGACCATCGAGAGCGAAGTGTGAATAGTGCGTGGTAGATCTTTCTGAGGGTTGATGAACTCTCCAGCAACGTAGTTGACCTGCAAATTGTTAGCATGATTGAATCAAGAACTTGACAAGGTTGCAGCGTACGTTGTCCCATCCGTCGTACGCCCAGAGTCCAGCATAAATAGCAACAGCCCAGTTTCCCGCATCATGCTTAGTGCCATCAACCCAGAAAGAAGGTTGCTTCCAGTCCTGAGATGCGTTGCCTTCAAAGCTCCAGCCAGTGATGGCCACTATGATGCCGGTGACGGTGACTCCAGCTAACGCGACGAACTTCAGCACCACAAAAGCATCAGTGCTGCGAGTGCCCACTTTGGTGGAAATACAATTCAGTGCAGTTACCAGTATCAAGCCGGCCAGCGCGACAGCCTTGTTGATCCAGATGCTTGCGTCCATAGCGTCGGCGCCAATGAAGGCTCTGACGGTGTATTCTCCAAAGATGATGGCAATGATGGCAGCCGAACCAGGCTTCAGGACGACAACAGCACACCACGTGAAGAGGAAGCCAGCCCATTCGCCGTAGATTTTGCTCAAGTAGATCTGCGCACCGCCGTTGAGAGGCATGGCGCTACCCAGCTCGGCATAGCTCGAAGCACCAGTCCAAGCGAGTAGACCAGCAATAACCCATACTGTCAAGGCTGCAACCGGAGAACCGGCATTGATGTTGACCTGCGCGGGTGACGAGAAGATGCCTGAACCAATGATGAGGCCAACGACCAGCGACAGACCGCCTTTCCAAAGTGTCAAAGATTTGTGTCTTTCCAAGCTTCCTTCTCCTCCTGCTGCCAAAGCCTGGCCGCTTGGAGCACCTATAGCGGTATATCCTGCTCCTGAGTTCGACAGGGGGAATAGTGCGGGAGCGAAGTCGAAGGCCGAGGAGACCGAGTAGGATCTGTTCATGCGACCACCATTTCCTCTGCTGCTAGGACCGGGAGTCCCGAGGTGATCATCGTCAAAGGAGAGCTTGCGCGAAGAGGGGACGCCAGAGGCTGAAGAGTCGATACTCTCGCGCGAGTTGTGGTCCGACGAAGCAAGGGAAGCCAGTTCCAGCGAGTCGCGCTCGAATTGGCGAGGTGGTGCGAGTCCGGCCATGCGAACAGCGATTGTCGTCTATCGGTGTGTTATTGTAGCATCACTCGACTCAGCATGCCAAACAAAAGACTCGGCCGCAAAACAGAAGTTTGTTCAGGAGTTGATGCACCTGCGTTGCTTCATGCCGCTTCTGGTAATTCCAGGGTCTCTACCTGGCTTTTGCGCCCCGTGACGTAGCCGCTGTGAATCAGACCGCCATCTCCTGCAATCGTTCATCAATAACATGAAACATCAAGACATGTCGGACACATCTAGATACCTATGTACCAGCTTCAAGCTGCACATCTAGAAGAAAAACACCGAAAGGTCACAACTGTCCGCTTCTACCTGTAATGGCTGCTGAGAAGAAGGACCTGAATCCCATTTTCCATCAGAAAGCGACGACAACAACAGAAGATCATCTATCGCCATACAGTAAGTCGAGCAGCGTTGGATTTGGCCATCTGGAACAACCTCCATATCGTGGAATACCGGATGTGGGCTCTGAAGCAATCATCACGCATGTCACTCCCGAGCCGGCGTCCCCTAGGCTGGGGCTTTGATGCATGCCACGTCTTCAATATACAACAAAGCCAGTCCTGAGGAGATCAAGCATAATACTACGTGGCACTCAGACCTAGGTCAAATTATGGGTTTTGGGGGCCGTCGAGTCCTGCACTTGCTTTTGCAGTGATTATACGAGGTCTAGCTCACGTTCGTCTGTTCCTGAAGTCCTTATCACGCCGTAGTCTTACTCGCTTTCATGTGAGTTGGGCATCAGACATGTACTGTACTTTTGACACAGAGTCCAAATATGCGAGGACTTGCAAATAGGACTTCTCATATTGACGGCCTGGCGCCACCTTAGATATGCTAACCTTTGCCAATCTCCTCTGCCATTTACCTCGACTCATCGGCTCCCAACAATATGGGTATATCGTCTTCGAAACAGGACGCCATCACTGTGCGTCCAGCATCTATGACAGCCGCTAGCGCTGTTGGTACTGCACCCCCTGCCGCTGAAGCGGCCGCTGGAGAAGGTGCGGAAGAAGAGACAGTCACGGTCTTCATACTAGGACCACGATGGGTTCGTGACCGAAATACGGGTCAAGAATGGGTCGAGAAGAACCGACCGAAGGCAGATATGCTCGAGAGGCGTGGTGAGGTCACGCATGTCCTTCGTCAACAGGGGAAGCGATTCTTCACCAGACATAAAGATGGGACCATGCAGATGGATCCCAAGAGAGCACCTGTTGGTATGAACATGAGTCATAGAACTTGACAGCTAAATACTGACCTGAGGCAGAAGAAAGTGCTGTTGTGGATGTCCCAGCAGAGGCACCCGCGGCTACAGCTCCTGTGGCTGTAGCGGCTTGATCACGGCACTGATACTCAAAGACCAGCCATGGCTTACGGGACGATGTACAATACTTGTGAATACCATTACTTGCTTACGTCCTGAAACCCTATCGTTGCAAGTCGCCGCCTTGATCAGTTGTCCAGATGACCAGACCATCTCTAGGCATTGAAGAGCTGTGGAACCTTACTTCCGGTACAACCACCTATTTATGACACGGGACAAGCAGTTGTTGATCTCTTACAGCGAACATCCAATTACTAGACGACCATCTGTTATCAACCCACCCCACATTCGAAACACCACCTTCCACACAACCATGGGTGCGCATGGCCATCTCAAAGAACACAGACGGCACATTCCAAGGCATGCTCCTCGAACGTGGAGTCCTCTTCGCCGAGACTAAACACTGTGCATCACCCTACGAAGCAGTATCGGAGATGTTCAAGCACACTTCTACCTTGGTGGCCCAAACACTGGCTGGGGACAGGATGGCACTGAGGGTCGGAGGACAAAAGGAAGATGGGACCGTGATGAGATTGGATCTACTGCGAAGGAAGCCTGTTGAAAGCTTTGAGAATGTTTGCGAGCAGTGGACGGATGAGAAGGGTCGAAGACGGTCTAGTGCTCAGGAGCTTGAGAAGGATATTCTTCGAGGGGTTTGAACCTTGGATGGCAAGGTCGAGTGAAACGATGATCGACGTCCTAGTATATCAGAGCAGTTCTTGATGATCATAGAGCTGAAGATTATTTGTCCTAGAGAAAAGAAGTCGAGGGAGAGAAGGTCTCGGTGATTGTCTTTGTCAATTCAAAGATCGGACATAGCGGAGCCGAGTCGCCGAGATGTGGGTTTGTGGTGATGCTGACCATGCCATGACGTTTGTCTTCTCGATCATCTCAAAAATAATGTCGCATTCTTCGTTCCATTCATATTTGCACAGCCATCACACACCATGGGATTGATTATCAGAGGAGCCAGGATCGCATCACGTATCCCACGAACGCAACTATGGGCGCTTCAACAACGCAGCGCTTCGAGGGCGACCTACACAGTACCCATCGCACAACCGCCTCCAACACATGAGCACTGGAACATCCCTACACTGGACGAATGCCCTTCACCCACATGTCAATGCAGAGAGACGCCGCCAGGACTGGATATCGACCGCGAAAGCAAGCTCAATGGGACCATGCCGACGTATGCTGAGCAAGTCCTCATCTCGACAGGCCGCACAGACTGGAAGAGCAGGATACAAGAGGACGAGGATAGTGTGCTTGTGAACCAATTAAATAAGATGATTGGACCCAAGGGCAGGTTCTCAGACGTATGCGACCACTACCACATTCCCATTCTCACTGCAAGACATGCCGCTGACTCTGCCTTAGCCATACCACAATGTATCCATCACCAACTCGTCCATCCCACCAACCCCTTTCGAGGATGCAGAACCCTCAACACAGCCCGCGCAGAAGGCGAACACAGTACCCGCCGCCAAACCTGGCTCAGACCCAGACATTGTCCCACAAAACAAGCCCAACACAGCGCCCGCTTCGGCCTTCCTCTTCCCTAGCTTCCAATACGTCCCCAGTATTCCCACCGATGACAGTGGTGTCGAAGCCTTTGTCAAGGCATTCGTTCTCCCTCCATCGCTACACGCATCGCACGAGCGTCTGACCAGGGCACAAAAGAACACTCTTCTACACGAACCTGAGATGCGCAAGAGCTTCCCCGGCGCTCGCCCTGTACATGAGATTGTCGTCTTGATCTGCGGCCACGGTGGACGTGATGAAAGATGTGGAAAGTTGGGCCCAGTCCTGCAGGCAGAGTTTGAGGAGAAGCTGGAGAGACAGAATATCCCTATTATCCGTGGGGCTCCTCCTCATGATACTGAGCAGCCTGATTACACGATTCAAGAGTACCAGCCCGCGGCAAGAGTAGCCCAGATCTCACACATCGGAGGACACAAGTGGGCTGGCAATGTTATCGTCTACATTCCTCCTACCTTCAAGACCAATCCTCTAGCAGGATGTGGTATCTGGTACGGTAGAGTAGAGCCTCAACATGTGGAGGGTATCGTCGGCAAGACTCTCATCGACGGCAAGGTCATCAAAACTCACTTCAGAGGTGGTATTCGCGAAGGCGGCGAGATCTTGAGACTCGATGACTAGACTAGTAGATAGTGTATAACATGTACGATTATGAATCTATTCAATGTGGCCTCTTCCGCTATCTGAAATAAATTGGTGGTATAGAAAATGATCATGTCATCGTCATTGACATGTGAAGCTTGGCAAACTTTGGAGCCTTCGGAAAGTCGAGAAAGCAACTTTTTGACAGTTGCACAATCAAGTCACGATGCCTTGTACTATTCGTCCTGCCCTCCGTTCCTCACTGCGATGTCGCCAATCCACATCGAATCAACACCTGGTCTTCCGTCGAGAGTTTGCGCGCAGCCAACACACATCATCCAACATACACAATGAAGCACCCAAGCCAAAACGCAGCTCGTTACGAGGCATTGCTGCTGCTCTCTTCTTCTTCGGCACTGGCTGGGTACTGAACGATAATTTCCATCTCATCGGCTTCTCGTCACCGCAATCTCTGAATGATTCGACTTTCACACCATTCTCCCTCACCAAGAAAGAGACCGTTTCGTCCACCAGCGCCATTTTCACCCTCTCACAATCGCATATTCCGCCAGGCACGTTTGACGAATGGTCGAAAAAGGGAGTCTGGAGCATTGAGATCAAACAACCTCAACTTCAGATTGCAAGAGCATATACACCTCTGCCGCCGCTGAATGGTTCAGACCCGGACGCTCTGCGTCTGCTCGTCCGTCGTGAGCGGAGAGGAGAGGTGTCGGGATACCTACACAGGCGACCTCAGGGTGCTGACGTTGAAGTCAGAGGTCCAGCTATCGAGTATGAGTTACCGCAGGATGTCGACCAAGTTGTCTTTCTTGCCGGAGGTACAGGTGTTGCGCCTGCCATTCAAGTAGCACATGCTGTCGGCGACAAAGCTCGTGTTTCTGTACTATGGGCAAACAGACAGAGAGAAGACTGTGTAGGTGGTTTGAGCGATGACCCAATTACTCCTGGTTGGTATGCCAGCTTCACAAGGCTCTTCAGCAGTGAATCTCATCACAGCACCGCAACCAGCGGCGAGAAGAGCTTAATCGTGAGACAACTCGATGCGCTCAAACAGACTAACAAATCACTTACTGTCGACTACTTTGTTGATGAGGAGAGCACTCATATCCATCCGCAAGATGTCCGCAATGCCATCGCTCAGACCTCAAGTCAAACACCAACCTCTGAACAAGGCAGGAAAGTCATTTTCGTATCTGGACCAGAAGGTTTCATCAACTACTGGGCTGGTCCCAAGCAATGGTTCAACGGTCGAGAAGTTCAGGGTGTACTCGGTGGCGCTCTTGCACATATGGATCTTAGAGGCTGGCAAGTGGTCAAGTTGTGAATCAACCATCCCACGTGCATGATACCAAGCCCAGGAAGAAGTTTCGCGTACAATCACCATCTCTACGGATAAATCTACGCTTTTTGGACACCCCAGCCGCTTGTCCTTGCCGTTCTGTCTTGCCGTTCCCCGCCACCTGCCACCTTTGCTTAGAAGACTTCCCCACGGGATCATTCCGTCAACCTTATCAAGCATTTGCAACCGGTGACACCAGCATTTGGACATCTCCTTGACTTTTTGGATTTTCTTTCCTTGATGCATCAATGCATTTCATCCAGATTTGCTTTCTATCATTGAATTGAGACGTTATGTCGACAGTCGAGATGGCCGCCGCGCCTGTAGCACCAGCTTCGGCAGCTAATAATTTGGTCGACGAAAAGGCAATCATTCCTTCTGCTGTGGAAATCCAAAATCCTGAGGGGCGGCCACAATGCTTTAAATCAACGACACAGGAAGTGCTATTCGTTCTTACGGCGACTATGGCGATAGCAATGGGAGCCTTCCTGTCTGGTGCCGTCTCAGTCATATCCGCTTCTGTTGGTGCAGACCTAGGCATGACTACAGCGGAAATTACTTGGATGAGCTCAGCCAACACACTAGCTGGTGGTGCTTTCCTGCTTCTATTCGGTAAACTCGCCGACTGCTTTGGACGTAAAATGATGTTCGTCCTGTCGCTATTCTTCTTCGCTGTTCTTTCTCTGGCAGCTGGATTCTCAAAAACTCCTATTGTTTTGGATGTGCTCAATGGAATGATGGGATTGATGACAGCTGCTTCTGTCCCTCCTGCTCAAGGACTTTTGGGTACTATTTACGAAAAGCCGTCGCGACGTAAGAATGCAGCTTTTGCTTGTTTCTCTGCTGGTAATCCTCTGGGCTTTGTGTTTGGCACCATTTTCTCTGGTATCGCTAGTGATTTGTTCAACTGGAGAGCCAGCTTCTTCTTGCTGGCTATCATCTATCTTGTCTTCAGCGCTCTGGCCATGTTCACGGTGCCCAAGGACACCACAAATAAGGAACCATTCAACTGGACGACAGTCAAGAAGTTGGATCCGGTTGGTGTTGTCCTCACTATTGCAGGCGTAGGCATGTTCTGCGCTGCTCTCTCTTCCGGCGATACAGCTACCAATGGTTGGAAGACTGACTACATCATCGCCATGTTAATCGTTGGCGCTGCACTCATCGTCGCTTTCGTTTTCTGGGAACTCTACTACCCTCATCCTCTGGTGCCCATGTCGATCTGGCGCGACAAGAATTTCTCTCTCGTCATGATTGTGCTATTATTCGGCATGATGGCTTTCTCCGTCGCCGAGTTCTTCCTCGCATTATACATGCAAGAAGTCTGGAAATGGTCACCGCTCACCACCGCCGTCCATCTGCTTCCAATGGCCATCATGGGCATCATCGTCAACATCGTCGCCGGCATGATCATGCACCGCGTCAGCAACAAAGCACTCATGCTCGTCGGATGTTTCGGCTACACCATCGCATTCACCCTCATCGCTGTAAACACCATTCATTCATCCTACTGGGCTTTCTGCTTCCCCTCTTTCCTCCTCGCGGTCGTCGGCGCGGATCTGGAATTCAATGTCGCTAACCTCTATGTTGCTTCTTCTATGCCTGTGCATCAACAGAGTATTGCTGGCAGTATAGTTCAGACTGTTACGAAGCTTTGCCAATCTGTGGGTTTTGGCATTGGGACTGCGGTGTTCAATGCTGTAGGGAGGAGTGCGAAGGAGGGAGGGAGGTGGGACGTGGCTACCAAGCCATACTCTGCGGTTTTCTGGTTCGCCGCTGCCGCATCGGGGACCTCGATTGTTTTCGCCATGTTTTTGACCATTGGGACACAAGGAGGAAAGGAAAAACGGGAAGATGAAGATGAGGGTGAAGGTAGTGGAGAGGCGAAACAGTAATGCACTTTCTATGCTCTTTTGCAGCCGAGGAAATGTATCGAGCTATAGAGATTGACATTTATTACCACAGTATCATATGCTATCAGCTTTTATCTTTACTGTATATCTTTGCTCTTCCGTATGCACTTTTGGCTTGGTCTTTAGTTACTATAAGGGTATTTAACCCTCCGTCTACCCTTCTTACCTCCTCCTTTCCCTTTCTAGGCTTTTTTTTTTATTCCATGACACGCAGCGGTTGCAGTAGATGCTCAAGTGGTCATAAATGTCGCGGGTGATTCGCAATGAGGTGAGAAGTACGGGAAGAAATAAAGTGACAAAGAAAGGATAGGAAAGATCAGAAAAAAGTATACACAAGCGAAGGAGAAGACAGAGAGATTAAGAAAGCAAAAGTCGAGGCCATAGGTTTGGTCATATTCTGCTTTATTTTCCTTTAATACTTATTGTTATCGTTGTGCCAGGTATAACGTCGATGCATAAATTCCTTCCGAAATTGTATTTTTGAATCTTTTCAAGAAGGAAGAGGGGTAGGGGGTAGAAGGCTTAGTTTCTGCTAGACTGGAATAATAGTATTTATCATATTGTTCTATCTTCTCTTTATGTGTTTTAGGTTCTTCTCTTGCTAGGGATTATTAGCTATTTTTCGTATAACTTTCCGCGTTTCCAAGCGTGATAATCTATAGGTAGCTTTTTAAAAAATCACTTGTCTTGATTTTTTTGTTTACAAGGCTAAGAGTTTTTTTACTTGCATGTGCAAAAAAAGCTTAAACTTTTCACGACGGAAACAGAAAGAAAAATGACTTATTTGGATTCTTCGGATGATTTTTGACGTTGCTTTAAGTACTATAAGTGATCTGCCCGTCTTTTGAGTAGGTGGCCGCTCGTTACGAGTATTCTTTAATCCAAGCGCATCTCGATTCCACCCAACTCCCGCACCAAACCCTGCCCACCAAGCCCCACCCCACACAAACAAAAAAAGAAATCCCTTTCTCCCACCACCAAAAAAGAATTCCTTTTGCCCCAATTCCACCACCGTCTCTTACGCAGAGCAGTAGGAACGGCAAAAAGATAAGTCAACTGTGTGTTTAGGAATAGCCGAAGGCGGGGCTCGAACCCGCGACCTTGAGGTTGTACTTTATCGAATTGATAAGAGCCACACGCTCTACCGATTGAGCTACCCCGGCAGGTCTGAATGATCTAGTTCACTGTGTGGACTGGCTCGTTGACTTGTGGTGTGAGGTCGGGTAGCAGAGTATATGTAGTCTTGAAATGCTGGGCTTGGAAATGTTTTAGATGGGAGAGCGGTGGTGGATGGTGTAGCGTGTTCTGGAACTTTTGATCTAGTTGTTGAACTCTGTGGATGGGCTTATGTGATGGTAAGGTGTTTTTAATCTTGAGTAGATCATGTTCCTGTTTAATCGATCTCATTGCCAACTTTCCTCAGCTCTGTGATGGGACTTACCAAGAATCACAAAACAGCTCGGAGCACGCGTAACACAAGCTAGTGCCAGTCCAGTACTTTCCGTGTGGATACAAAGAGCCCTTTACCCTAATATGAGAGAGTATCGGCGTGTCCAACTATGCTAAAGGTGTTCTTTGCTCGAAGGAATCTCCTAGCCAGGGTGATACCACAGACGAACGGACTTGGTGGAATATGTGGAATATGTCAGGGTAGAATGTGTCAGGCATTGTGTGTGTGTGTATGTCTTGGATCGATGTTCTCTAGACGTTGACTATATACAATCGCCTTTTGCGCCAATGAGCAAAGATCGAAAGAAGAGACGATGTCAAACCGCAATCAAAAGCTATGGTCCATGACAAGCAATTGCCAGCCGAAGATAGGGCTTCAACCCGTTTGGTGAAAGTGCTGGTTCAAGACCCGTCTTCGGTGCCTCTTTCCATTCTTGTTGATGATAGTTCTTTAACTAGTCTTTCTTTGCACAGCAGCCACAGTAAATTACTAAGATATAGCACGATGGAAGCAATCAACATTTCAATAGTAATGTGTTCCAATTGAAGCTTCTACCAATATATCTTTGATCCTGAATTCACCGACGACTTCTACCAAATATAGGATGTTTCTCAATCATTGACGTCTCGATCTATGTCTCGTCATTCTAGCCAAATTGCGTCGTTGTCTATCAGGAGGCTGGCTTGAAAGGACTTTGTACACTTCCGTAGCTATTGTGATGGTCAGCAGAAGATACACCTGGTAGAATAATTAGGACTCACCCTTGAGGACACTGCGATCCTAATGCAACACTTCCACTACGCATATAACATGCCTTGGCCTTCGCACAAGCAATGTTTGTACAGTTGGGACTCTTCACACTGCTCTTTCCTTGGTATGTATTGAAGGTACTGGCCAGTGTCGTGTTCTTCTCAATCTGCTCCGAGACCAAGTGCCAGAATGTTGCATTCAGAGGAGATTCTGCAGGCCAATTGATGCTAGGTCCATAGGTATCCCTCGTGTTGTACTCAAACTGGAACGTTGGACCCGTGGTGTTGAGAGAAGAGAACGATTCCACATCAGAGTAGAATGTGTAGGCTTCGTAAATATTCCAATCGCCGGTGTCAACTTCATAGCTTCGGAAGGCGGAGTTGACATTCGTAAGCGGAGTTATACTAGGGCCAACCCAAGCGGTGTTCAAGGCGTTACCGGCAGATTGGTTAGTACCATTGTTGGCATAGTACACATATGCAAAGTCCTCATGAGTATGACCAAAGAAGACATTGGCGATGACATGAGGTGAGTAGCGGTCGATGATCTGATAGAATAGATCTGTAGGATTAGGCATAGGGTTCGTGCCATCCCAACCACTGAGGACATGTCCAAGGATCCAGACTCTCTCTCCAGCATCTTCGGCACGTTGAAGTTCTTCAATCATCCAAGCGAACATGCCAGACTTGTCAGGGTTAATGGTGTCAATCAGGTTGAGGTAGTTGGATCGGTACCAGAAATCGGTGTTGAAGGTGATAACACGAAGACCTTGAGGAGTCTTGACAGAGTAAGCACCGTAATGAAGACGAGCTTGATTTGCGGCAGTCGAGTTGAGCCAGCCCTCTTCCTGCCACAGTCCGGCGACATGATCAAAGTTCCAGGACATTTGCATACCAAGGTCACCAGGAAGACTGTGAGGTGCATCTATAGCTTCAGGATTGGTATCGTGGTTTCCGAGGACGGCGTAGACAGGAGTCTTGTGCAAGAACTTTTTGAGCATGTCATAGATTGACAGTTCTGCATACTCGACGTACTCTCTGGAGAGTTCTTGCTGGCCCTCATGACTGACAAGATCACCAGTATAGATACTGAAGCCGAACGGGTCCTTCTGATTAGTACCAGTCAGAGGTGCAATAGAGTCCAATGCTGCCAGAACCAAACCATACGGACTGTCACATTTGAAGTCGCCATAGTACGGAGCTGGAAGCGAGATTTCACCCGTCGGGAGAGCAGTGTTAAAGTTGTTAGCACGGCAACACAAAGAAGATGTGCAATTGGCCTCGCTTCCAACAGCATACCGAGGATCCAGATGGATGTCAGACATGTGGAGAACCTTGATACGTTCACCGCTAGCCTTTGGTATCGTGTAGTTGGTTGGCTTTGGCTTTTTAAAGAGGCCCGTCGTGTTCAGCGGGCTCGTCTTAGGGAAGGAGCAGAACGTACTCGATAAGCGATTGCAGATGTATTGGCCATCCAAACCAGCAACATCGGACAAAGCCAAGATCTGAGTCCAGATAGCGCCAAAAGTAGTAGCCTCGTAGTTCTCCTCACAAGTCTCGTTCGACTGAAACTTGTATTTCTTACACAAAGAAACCATGGTATCCGGTATGAGTTCCGGGGCCAATTGAGCGGCCGACTTTGCTACAGTCAAGCTAGCAATACATTTCGAGCAATTGGTGGTGAGCTGCTCGCTACCAATGATCTCCTTGACCTGAGAGATAATGCTGTCAAGCACAGCTTGCTTTCCAGTAGAAGTCAAGTTGGCAATGGGCGAAGGATACGAGACGGGGTCGTTGCTCTTGTCCGAGATTGTGTCAGGATCTGTTAGGTTCAGAGGAAAAGTAATATTCAACACAGGGTCGTAAAGTGCTGGCTGAGGTTCTGCTGTAGCGACAGGCTTGACCCAATAAGATGAAAAGACAGAGGTTGGAAATCCAGAAGATGCGATATGAGAGGAAATTGCTCCGGATGGAATGCTTTGGGCATTGACGACACCTAACCAGAGGGCTGCAGGGAAGAGGAGCTTTCGAAGACCCATGATCAATGATTGTGGTATGAAGAATGAGAAGAAAAACTGGAACGCCCAAAGAGCTGGATATAACTCCATGGATGTTCAGCAACGCATGAAGGTCTAAAGCATCCTCCATTTAAGGATGCCGTATCTGCCGGTTATCAATCATCATTCATTGAATGAGCGCGCAATTGGCAGCTACGCTCGCAGCACGTGGGCGGGAGGATCTGAGCTTAGCCCGCGATATACGCGGCTTCCTCAACACCGACATCACTTCTTACGCTCTCGTACATCAAAGCTGCATCGTCAAAGATTGAGCGAAAGCAAGGACGAAATACTGGACTCTGATGACGGGGAAGAGCTGAATAAAAGCGACGTGCTTGCAACGCGCCGAGGTTTGACACGCTACTTGGCACAGGTCATCATCGCGCTGAATTCGCGAAGTCAGAATAGTTTTCGGGTTGTCGGGACGTGATCCCGCCTTCCAAACCTTGTTCCGAACGCGTCTCCTACAAGATTGCGTAGGATCTGGCAGGAGTTCGCGGAAGCTTTCTTGCCCCTTTTGTTGGCTTCACATAGATTCGAGGAGAAGCGAATGTTCTCAACAGAAGCTCATCTGAGCCGGACCGACATTGACTTCCCTCAGCGACTCTTGGTGTTGCTTCATTCAAACATCGACTCGTACATAAGAACACGTTGCGTAGCATCTCACATTGCCATAATCATCTCTGTCGACTCGTTTCTCTCGCGGCATCATCTCTTTTCCCGTATCTCACTCCTCGAACAACCAAGATGGAACCCGCGAAATCGAAGAATGAGGCTATCATTGCTCGTGCTAGAGACTCGGCCAACGTGCCATGGTGTGAAGAATACGAAAAGATGATATCTGGCATGCTGTAAGTGTTCGGTCCATCTCTTGCATCGTTTTCATGCTTCACATCACTTGCAAACAAACAGCAACTGTTTGACGTTACGCTTGCTGAACAATTCCAGCTACAATGCCTTCGTCCCAGAACTTCTCACCGGCCGCTTCCGTGCTCGCAAACTTGCCTCACAATACAACGCACCCATTCCGGATGAGATGACAGAAGATGAATTGATGTCAAAGCGCGCCGAAATTCTCAAGAAGTTCTTTGGCTCTCTCGGCAAGAACAGCTGCATTGAGCCGCCGCTGAATGTCGATTATGGCTGCAACATTCTCGTTGGTGATGACTTCTACTCAAACTTCGGGTGAGCCTATATTTCTCCCTGCAGGAAGACATAGATGACTGACACAAGTATAGTCTTACAATTCTTGACTGCTGTTTGGTGGAGATTGGTGACAGAGTGATGTTCGGACCTAATGTCAGCATCTTGAGCGCAACTCATCAGACCGATGTCCAATCACGTCGTGACGGTGTCGAGTTCGCACTACCTGTGTTCATTGGAGACGACTGTTGGATCGGAGGTAATGTCAGCATTCTGCCAGGCGTGACGATTGGAAACGGATGTACGATTGGTGCAGGCTCAGTCGTCACAAAGAGCATTCCTGCATTTTCGGTGGCTGTGGGATCACCAGCAAGAGTCATCAAGAAAGTCCAAGAGACGGAACCTGTACCGAAGAAGTAGATGAACCGCTTCAAATGCACTATGCAATGGATGGTTTATGCAATGGATGGTTCACAGTATTAAGGCAGAGAAGAAGTGAGTGGTAAATGTGATTATATTATAAACTAATCTTCTAGTCTAAGCAGAAGCAAATCATTTTCGGTCTATCATGATCATGAAAAAATACATTCGCTTAAGCGAGCTGAGCAGTAAGAGGAAGGTTTCTCGAACTGCTACCAACATACACAGTCTTGGTGTAGTTGCTGACGAACCAATCCTGAGCCTCGGGGCTCCAGTTCATGATGTCTCTTCTCATGATATCGGCAGAAAAGGTGACGGTCTGGTTGGGCTGGATGCTCAATCTCTCAAAACCTCTGAGCATCTTGACAGCGTCGTAAGGGCCACCAAGAGAGACATAGAGTTGAGGGACCTCAACACCAGCGACCTTGCCGACGTTCTTGATCTGGGTGGTGACGCGGTAGATAACGTCCCACAGAGCGGGATTACCACCGGAAGGACCAGAAGCAGGAAGACGAGGCTGAGGAGAAGAGTCGACGGCACCCTCGGGGACGAAGCTGTCATCACCGTAGGGAGCGTACTGAGACTGACCAGCAGCGGAGGAGAGGTTGGTCGAGTTCAACCAGGGGTAGAGGTAGAGAGGAACGCGAGAGAAGTTGCCGGGGAAGAGGTGGTCGGCAGGGTTCATGCTGATGTTACCGTAGGTCTGAGCAGCAGGAGTCATACCGGTGGTGGGGGTGTAGGCACTAGTGTTCAGCTTGTTGACCTTGATGTCACTGTAGGTGAAGTTGGTGTATGAGAGACCGAAACCGAACTCGTAGACGGGCTCAATCTCCTGCTTGTCGAAGGCTCTGTAGTCAATGAAGATACCCTCCTTGAAGTCGGTCTGAGGGATCTTGTTATTGGGAGTGTAAAGAACATCGGTACCGTAGTCGGAACGCTTGGCACCCATGGTGAAGGGAAGCTTGGCACCAGGGTTGACACGACCGTAAAGAATGTCGGCAATCGAGTTACCAGACTGCTCGCCAGGAACACCAGCCCAGAGAATGGCGGTAATGTTGGGGTTGTTGGCGTACTTCTCAATAAGGACGGGACCGACAGAGTGGATGACCAGAATGGTGTTGTTGCAGGTAGCCGAGACATTGGCGACAAGCTCGTCACCGCCCTGCCAGAATGTAAGGTTGTTGCGATCACCATAGTTGCCCTCAACCTGGAGGTATCCTTCTCCCGAGTCAGCATTATTAAAAACAAGGCTGACCTCGGCCTGCTTAGCAAGAGAGAAGGCCTGGTCAAGGTTCGAGTTGTTGCTGAGAGATTGGTACTGGCCACCATTCTTACCAACAACCTCGTTTTGGATGGCAGTATCAGGAGTGATGAGGTAAGGGAAGTTGGCAGATCCAGAGCCCCAGGCCATGCCAAGAGTACCAGAGTCACCGGCGCGGTCAGTGAAGCCGTTAGGTCCGTTCACATTCTCGAAAGCATCCTCACCAAGGACAGCAGTGAACTTCTCCTTTCCAGTGAGAGGTAGAGCGTTGTTGACATTCTTGAGCAGGACGGTAGAAGCGGAGCCAATCTCACGAATGAGCTTGCTGTGGTTCTCGCGGACATCGACGTGCTGGTTAATAAGGCCGTAACCTTGACCAACAGCATTGTGGGAGTAACCGTAGGTGTCGAGAGAGTAAGAGTTGAAAGAGACGGGAACTTCGTTCTTGTCACGGCCGACGTAGTAGTAGGCAGCGAGGATACGGACGGCAGCATCGTCCAGTCTCCATTGAGGAACAGTTCCGTTAATAACAGCAATTGTCATGTTCGAGCTGAAAAGAGCACCACCGTGGTTTCCGAACTCCTGAACGGGATCGCCAGGCATACTCATGTCGAGACCAGCAAGAATAGCAGAAACACCGCTGTGAGTTCCGTACCAGTCTGAAACCACGAAGCCCTGGAATCCGAGCTCATTCTTCAGGACGTGGTTGAGAATGTAACTGTTCTGGCAAGCCTGAGATCCGTTGACTTGGTTGTAAGAACACATGATAGATGTAGCACCAGCTCTGATACCATCGGCGAAGGGCCACAGGTACAGCTCGTGCAGAGTAACATCATCCAAGTTGGCTGAAACACTCTCAGTGACGTTGAAGCCCCAGTTCTTGGCCTCCTGAGATTGACGGAAGTGCTCCTGCTCGTAAGCGATGAAGTGCTTAGCGCTGGTCATGACTCCTGCGCTCTGGATACCCTTGATCGACTCGGCGAACATGAGACCAGTGAGGTAGGGGTCGGGAGAGAAGCCTTCCCAGTTTCTGCCGCCAGCAGGTGCTCTACCGAGAGGACCAGCAACGGGACCGAGCTGCATGTCAACACCTTTGCCGTAGTGCTCCTGACCCATGGCACGTCCACGAGCGTAGGCAAGACCGCGGTCCCAGGTAGCAGCGACGTTAACACCGGCAGGGAAAACAGAGTTACCATCGGTGAGACGGACACCGACGGGAGAGTCCTGCAGACAGAGAGCATTGATACCATGACGAGGAACAGAGCCGGTCTGACCGACGCAGTTACCCTGGTCTTCGAAGAGAGTTAGAATGAATGAGATATGACAATATTGATGATTATACTTACTCGTTCCGATACCACTGGTCAGGTTGACCTTCTCTTCGAGGGTCAATTGGGAGACAAGAGCGCGAGCCTTGACATAAGACTCCTTCCAGTCACCAGCACCCTCACCCCAAGGACTGGGGTACTTGGGAGGGCTCCATTGGAAGCTCTTGGAACCCTCAATAGTGTAGGGGTTCTCAGACTCGAATCCAGGATATGTTGTGTTGGGGAATGGCGAACCGAAGTTGCCAAACTGTGCATTCACCAGAGAGGCTCCCGCCGAAGCAAGGATATATGAAGATAGGGAAGGCATGATTGTGATTGTCCCTCAGAGGCGAGCTGCTGATGGACATTCGAACAGAGGATCATCAGTACCCTTTATACCTGCCTGCTCTGCCTTTCGGAAGAGCCATGTCTTACCAGCCCTCTCGCGGCATACCTTCCCGACCCACTGTTCATGAGGTGCGTGCCTTTGGATTACAAAAAGTCAAGCAATAATGTGACGTGGATACCTGACTTTTTAGTGCGCACGGGCGTACACTCCAGCTCTGCCCCAGAATGAAGATCATCTCCCCACTGGAGGCCCCATGAAGACGCGGACAAATTATGGCAAGGATTGTCGGCATCGGACACGGGCAGTAAAGGGCGCAAAGTTCATTCAACAGTTTCTTGACAACACAACGCGACTCGGCAGAAAGCGTCTGTAAAACTTGTGTCTATGTGCAATCAAGCATTGTGTACCTGCAGCCACAGAAGGAGCAACATTCGCAATTGTTGTCGGGCAGGCCACTTACGTAGCAATCCCGTTGTGACCCGAAGTTGACCGTTCGCCGGGCCGTACTAAGCCACACCTTTTCGGTCGGCTGAGGCGGCATCGCAGACATCCGACGAAGGTCTCCTTCGAATCTGCCGACCGATTCTGATGGTGATGATCGCTCGAACTTGGTGATCTTCATCGAAATTCTGGGTGCGGTAAACTCTGGATCTGGACATACCGACGCGGAGACACGAAGTTGTCCAGCACGCTCCTGACTCAGCTCGATTGCATTCACAAAGTTGCAATCTGAAATATATGAACCTATACCATCGCAAGCCACAAGCTGACCCAAGCATTGCCAGGAAGCTTGAGTAGCAAACAAGAGGCGGACATCAACAATGATTTGGTGACGTCGGAAATTTTGCAAAGGATCATGATACTTTTTGGGCCCCCACGAACGCCCACAAGACGACAGGCCCCCACTGCTGACTCGCAACAGTGGCAGCTCCGGCTAAAGTGGCAAAACCTCGGGATGTAACGATCTCCATCATTCTCCACGAACCCGCAGAGACATCGACCCACTTTGGTCGTCTACCACGCACCGCACGAGTGGCCGTCGGCAAGTCTGAGATTAGTTTTCCACATAGAGGGTGACGGTGGATCAGTCCATGCCCCATGGAGGAACACTGGCAGGGCTGTCAGTCAACTCTGTACTAATGCCAAGGCATGTAACCCTCATGCTCCCCTCACGCCGAGCACGATCACCTGGCATCTATAAATGCCCGCCACGGCCGTACTTCGCTCCTGTTGTGACCTTCTCCACTGCTGAAGGAATATGATGGGGGCATCGACTGTCATCTCTGGTGGCAGGTGCAGCAACATCGAACCGGAAAGTCCAACCGACAAGCGAGCTTCCCCATATGTTGGAGTAGAATGCGGGACAACCAGAAAAGGCCCGAATACCTTCCCAGTTGCCATGCGCTGTTTTCGAGAAGCCCGGACTTTTCCACACGAGCCATTCTGGTCCTCGTCACGAGTCTCGCACTCATACCTCGCCGGTCTTTGACTTGTATGCCGATGGCGGTCTGCGGACGGGTTTACGGTCCGCCTGCCGGAGAGTAGACTCAGCATCAAATCGACGTCCGAAACAGGCACAACAGCCGACCATATTTAAGCATGGCAATTTATTTAATCGTGAGATCCAAGCAGACGGATCACGACAAATACCACGAGAATCACCATACATCACACTGGGCTGCCGGATCAGCTTGCAGGTATGTGCTTCAAAAACTCCATCCAGACGAGGAGATTGTCGACCGATTGATGGCACGAGAGTTGTCACCACCGTACTTACCCAACTCCTGGACTGGGCCTCCGCGCATGATCGTATCGAGTCCAGCAAGGATAACAGAAATACCGGAAAGAGTATTGTATAATTCTGGTACAACAAAGCCCTTCCGGCAACGATTAGCCCGTTTGCTGTAACTATCGATGCGACGAGGTTCTCAACGAACCAGCAACGCCTGGTCTTCTTGGCCTTCCTTCTCACACGACTACGGCGAAGGATTCATTATCACGGAAGATGGCTGTGTAATTGGGGAATTGCTTTCTAAAGTAGGGCGGTGACGTTAAACTCTTACATGCTTCACCTTGGACTCGAGGCTCTCGAAGATCCTGACCAAAGCTTTATACCAAGCGATCATATCGAACACGGATGTAGAAGCATTATGTCTTCGAACGAGCAGTGGAGCGAGCTAGTGCCTCAATCTGGTGCGGCGAGTGTGTGGACGCGGCGGTCGGTAGGGGTGGGCGAGTGGACTTCTTGGACACCTTTGGCTTGATCAAGTGTCGGGCTGTGTAGCATTAACAGCGTCTGCGGTCTTGTTGCGGGCGCACATACGAGTGTTGGATTCCTCGTCGGTGGCCTTGTTCGGGGCTGCTAACTCGGTAGGCGACAACCCGGCTTCTTCTTCTTCTTCAATCTCGGCCTCTTCGTCGTCGTCGTCGTCATCCTCCTCCCGTCCCTCTTCTAAATGCGCAAGACGTTCTATCTCTGCCAGCTCAGCCTGCCACTCCTCTACATCAGTCTCAGTCCATGTCATCTGATGGATGTACCAGTCACTTGGCCTCCGACTCTTGAGATCCTCAGCGACCTCCTCGAGTATGGCACTCAGCTCGTCACGGACGCCATCGACTCCAGGAAAGTCGCCGGGTTTGTTGAGAAGCTGCCAGTTAGAAAAGCAGTCTTCTGCTTTGGTGCGCATCTCCTGTGTGGCGTGTCAGCGCTTCTCTGGCATTTTCACAGGAGGTAACTTACTTCTGCCTCGCGCCAGTCGGAGATACAGAGAGCAAGCAGAGCGTAGTAGCGTATACGAGGGTAGCCTGGAGTGGTGTCGCGAAGTACAGTATTGACATGTGCCACACAATTGTCGAATCCCTCTGCGTTAATCAGCTCAATAGCTTTCTCGAGCTCATTTACCCAATTCATTTTCAATGGTATGGTGTATCCAGTAGAGGTTGGTTTTGATTGGGGGTAAGCTTGGTTTTCAGATGGTGTGGTCAGTCTTTGTTGTTTGAGATGCTTTGTTGAGCTGTGCAAACAACGACGAATTTCCCAGGAACAGACGCGCTTCCGGACAACACCAAAACATTACAGCGCACTTCACTCGTCGGTCAACCCAAAGCCTTGCAACGTTACCATCACCATCAAGTTCAGAAGTCTGCTTTTTGTACCTTCTGGTACCCGAGAAGGTCGAAGAACTGCTTTTGGTGCTCCGCATCATACCGGTTTTTCGACACTCGGGAAGTTTTTGGCAGAGGGAGCGTTTTCGTCTTGGTTGTTGGTAATATGTAGGCAGCAGTGCTACTACCAACAAAATCTGGGTGCCGCAACGGCCTGCGAGTGCAGGCACAACCCGGCACGTGTTTGGCTTCACAGGTAGAGATTGCCTATTGCTGTGGGCTAGATCAGCTTGGTAAGTGAATCCAACTGCAACAAACAGATATCGACTCGACCGGAACAACTTTGCCAAACCTAGATGTTGGCCTAGCACGAGCTTCGAGGCAGCAGCGTTACATCCAACAACCCCCAGGAGCCGAAGACGTTTACTGCTTCGCTTGAGGCACAAGACAATATTGCGGTGTTGTGGTTCCGCCTAGAAGAGCATACCGTCGCTTCCGACAAAATCTAGACTTCGAGGCCTTATGAACGATTACACCGTCGTGGGCCTTACAAGTTGGTCTCCTTGCAATGTTCAGCACGAAGAAGGTGAATGCTCGCGCTCGCTTGATGTTATAGACCGATGACGGAAAGAGGTTGACGAAACAACCCTCTAAATCCGTTGTCCATATAGAAAAAGGTGCGACGTGAAGTCACTTCGAGATAAGCATCAGGCTGTGTAACAGGATTACCGAAAAGTAGTGTGGTGATCATGAATCCAGCCACCTGGCTCCTAGGACGCCTAATCGTGGCGCTGTTGGAGATCCTGAAGATCCTCCGTTCCTGGATGCTTGATATTTCGAGTACGGTGTTCACATCCAGGGGAGGTGTCTCTTTGTGGAAGGTCTGTGTTTCTCTGCAAGGCTGTAGATTTTGAGATACATGCATGCTGTAAATATGGGCTCTTACCTCAAGCGTTGTGGCGCAAAGAGACGCGGACTTCCTTTGAGTGTCATATGGGGATAGAATGTCCTTGAACGGTCATGGAAAGAGGAAGACCAGACTGATGGAATTACGGACCGCTGGACAGATAGAGTTCACCGTCGCATCTGCATCTGAACAGAATGTCAAAACGACAAGCAATACCACCATACTCTGCAGTCAGCAAAGACACACACCCTCCAGAATAGGAAGGTAGAAAACAAGATATCCAGCACTCCGGCGTCTCAAAGCAGAAAGGTCGACGAAGAGTTTCGGAATTTTCCACGACCACATGTTCGGTACCTGTCAGACTTCGCTCCACTCCCGAGCGCTGCAGAACTCCCAAGATGACCTCTAATCCTATCATTCCATGAATGCATGCACATCATGCATGTCAGACAGTCGAACCAAAAAAGCCACACGCTCACAAACCCACGTGTGCACTGCATAGGGCTGAGCGCATTCACCCGTGCCAAATTGATCCCAAACATAGCTTTCCGAACAAAGTTTTCGTCAGCATGTTGTTTTGCACTCTTTCCTCGAACAGGATAATTCAAGGGTACCTTGCATGCGTAAGGCTGATTTGATAAAGTGTGCTACTGCGAAGAAAGAAAGGAAGAAAGAAGATACACGGAGCTTCAGACTCCGCAACACCCGATGGGGAAACCGGCTTGTACTATGTGCATGTGCAGCTCAGAATAGAATATTAGTGCGCATTTTCGTGCCAGTAAGCACTTGTACCTTGCTCGAGTTAATGAACCTATCAGATCACTTCCACTCTCTGTTAACCATAATTATCTCGGCAGAGAAATGGAAGGGCCTGAGGCTGTGAGCATTTGGATGTGACGCTGGAGGATAGCATGGCAGGGGGTGTTTTGGGTGATGACTGTGTAAGATGGGGGAAAACAAGAACAGCTCTTTCTCAAAGCGTTCAGATGGCTTGGGATGCCTTGGTGCAAGGCAGTGCTTTGACTGGAACGGGTCGCCGATAACCAAATGTTGTAAGTTGCAACACTACAGAGTTGGTATGTTAGACAGAAGGAAAGTAGTATATATGAGCTTCTGGCACCATCTCTTCTTTTTGCTCTTTCCTTCATCATCACTACTACATCATATCAAGAGCTCAGCAGAACATCAAAAGCCATCACTCTTCATCACAGACCACCATCGACATTCCAGACATCTCAATCTCAAATCAATCATCACCTCAAAACAACTCCAAACATGTACATTCAAGCAATCATGGGACGCGGCGGCTACAACCGCAACTCAACCATCACCCTAGGCCGCGGAGGCTACAACCGCGATGTCAAAACCAGCGGCATCAGCAGACCCAACAACCCATCCAGCTTGACCGTCCGCTCTGCCCGCTCCGCCGACAAGGATGATGGCAGAGGTGGTTACAACTAAACACCTTCGACCTTTTTCCGACATCGCTGGTGGTGCTGGTCGCTCGCCGGCAACAAAATTGCATATAAATGGCGTTGAGGGAGCATTTCAACTTTCGTTTGCAGCATTGGGTGGTGTTTATTCGGGCATTTTCGACATACTACACGCATGGTCTTCGACGACATATACACGGCAGGGCATTCCTTTGAAAACCAGCATTTCGATTGTTTTTTTTGTTCATAGCATTGCATCAGTGGCGTTGGGGGGTAGCGATCAGATTGGTGCGGTAATAGGAGGCAGAGAATAGTCGGCGGAGCATATTTGGCAGCATATTTTGGAGTTGGAGGGCCCAATTCGGGTTTTTGATGTTTTTCACTCGTTGATGTTTTCTCTCTTTTTGTTCGGGGCATAGTTGCGGTGCTGGTTTTGGAAGTTTTAGATTCTGTTCTTCAGTCAAAGCAGGTCTTTGTGATCTCTTTGAGCAATCAAATCATATTGTTATTCTTTAGAATTCTCATTTGCCAACGCAGAATTTCTCAAACACGACTCCGAGTACTTCTTCCACGTCGCCAGCTTCGCCTTTACCAGTGATTCTGGCAAGACAGTTGGCAGCGTCACGTAAGTTCTCAGCGGCCAGAACAATGTCGACGTCAATCTCCTCGAGACCGGAATCTTCAGTGTTCTGTGTGCCGGCTTCCACTTGTCCTAAGAACTGCTCGAGATGGAACTGGCACTCGTCAAGTAGAAGTCTGTGACGCTCTGTTGCACCAAGAGACTCTTGCCAAATCGAAGCATCGGTGTCATCGTCCGTAGCTGCTACCGCTGATGTCATATCCTCGAATTGTCTGATCAGACCTGAGAGGAAACTCGGAATGTGGCCAGCGTCTGGAGCCGTAAATATCTCTGCATCTCTGCAAGAGATGGCGAAGATGTTTTCGAGTCTGACGTGCGGCAGGGCATCAGCGACCTGTCGTCGGAAGTTTTCGAGCTCGGAGGCATGTCCTGAGAGCAGATCGATCTTGTTGAGTACCACCAAAACATTCGACTTTTGTTCCGCAAGCTCAGCAGCAGTGTCGATGACTTCTTGATCTGGTTTGAGGACCACCTTCTTGCCTTCAAGTTCCAAGGATAAGACTGCGATGACGACGTCGCTTTCGATTGCTCTCTGCTTGGCACGCCTCATACCTTCCTCTTCGATCATGCTGATTTTCTCTTGCATGTGCTCTTGTTGAGCTTTGGCAGTCGCAAGGACAGCACTTCGCAGGCCAGCAGTATCGCCCAAGCGACAGAGATAACCGCCTAGATCAATGCCGACTTCGACCACATCGCGGGTCGTGCCTGCTTCTTGGCTGACGATAGCAGCCTCGCGGCCAACAATGCGGTTGAGCAGACTGCTTTTGCCAGCATTAGGCGCGCCAAGTAAACTAATTGCAATGCCGTTACGTAGCAGTTCTCCGCGCATTGCATTACGACGATGCGTGTCAATCAGGAGCACCAAGTCTTGAACCTGATCTGCGACAGAAGATGCCAACTCGGATGGCGACTCGTCGAAATGCTGGTCCTCCGAGAAATCAATCAAGGCTTCGAGCTCGCCTCTTGCTGCCAGGAGCATCTTCCGCCATGACTCGTATCGGATGGACAAGTTGTTGGTAGTGCCACGTACTGACAGACGACGCTGCTGCTCGGTATTTGCAGAGAGGGTGTCTCCCAGGGCTTCTACCTGTGTCAGGTCAAGACGGTCGTTCATGAAAGCTCTCCTTGTGAACTCCCCGGCTTCTGCATATCGAATAGCACCGGGAGCTGACGAGCACTGGGAGATGGCAGCTAAGACGGCTCTAACAACAGCTGTGCCTCCATGCACGTGCAGCTCAAGAAGATCCTCCCCAGTTACTGTTTTTGGAGCTGGAAAGTAGAGGACCAAAGCACTAGAATCCAGGAGATTGTCTGGAGATGGCTTAGCCCAAGGACGATATAAGGTCCGCACGGCAGCATAACGAGGCTTCAATGGTTTTTGCCCAGGACAAAGGCTGTGATAGATATCCTTGCATGCTGAACCGGAGATGCGGATGATGGCAATGGCTGCTCGACCAGGAGCAGTGGACAAGGCGTAGATTGTCGGATCACCATAAAACCTTGTTGAAAACGAAGAAGCAGTGCTTTGATGCCTCAATGTGATTGCAGGATACTTCCGAGCGGAGAAGGATCCAGAATTGCGGAAGTCAGATGTGGTTGGCGTGACTGGTGACACGGCCAATGGCAATATTTTAGCCGTCGAAGAAAGACATGACGACCGCCTGATAGCAAGTGACAATGAGCTCCTGGCAAGCCTCATTCGCCGCAAGCATTCAGTTATGTTGGAAGATAATTGAGATTTTACGGGAGATAGACGAAAATCAGGAGGCGAGGTTTGCTGACCATCGGGGTTGTGCTGGACGGGGCCTCGGGCCGTGCCGAAGGCGGTGAACAGCCAAGAATCTCGACGCTGGCAATCAAGTTCTGCTCAGAAAAAAGTCGCCGGGCGCTTCGCAATTGTTGATCGGATTTATTTTGCCGCTTGTCCTCCTTCGCACCTACGACCATTCATCGGCGTAGCCATAGTCTCGAGAAGTCTCACTTCTCGACCGTCCCTTCGACACCCAAAGACAGCCAATACCGGACTAATAAATCACAATCGCCGAAATGGCCTCGGACGAAATTGTTTGGCAGGTTATCAACCAGCAGTTCTGTTCATTCAAACTCAAGTACGACATTTGCGCGCCTAGGACGTTCTGAATTTGACTGACCCTTCCGCGCAGGACAACCAAGGAGCAAAACTTCTGTCGCAACGAACACAACGTTACTGGTCTCTGCAACCGTCAATCATGTCCCCTCGCCAACTCTCGCTATGCCACCATTCGCGCCGACCCGCAAACGCAGCGTCTCTACCTCTACATCAAGACCATCGAACGTGCACACATGCCCAGCAAATGGTGGGAGAAGATTCGTCTCAGCAGCAACTACTCCAAGGCTCTTGAGCAAGTCGATGATCGCCTGAAGTACTGGCCCAAATTCCTGGTCCACAAGAACAAGCAACGTCTCACTCGTTTGACTCAAGTCAGAGTCCGCATGCAAAAACTCGCCCGTGAGGAGGAACGTCTTGGAGAACAGCTGGTACCCAGACTCGCACCCAAGATTCGCAGAAGGGAACAGACCCGCGAGCGCAAGGCAGAGTCAGCCGCCAAGATTGAGCGCGCTATTGAAAGAGAACTGGTCGAGAGATTGAGAAGTGGCGCTTACGGCGAGCAACCTCTCAACGTTGACGAGAACATCTGGAAGCGCGTCATGCGCACTCTGGAGCGTGGTGGTGAGGCCACCCGCGATGAAGACCTCGACGAGGGTATTGATGAGGAAGATGAGGAAGAGTACGAATACGAACAAGAGGAGGAAGGTCCTGACGTCGAGTACGTCAGTGACGTTGAGGAGAGCGACGACGACATGGACGACCTGGAGGACTGGCTTGGCAGTGAACAGGAGGCTGGCTCCGAGAGCGAAGAGGATGAAGACGAAGACGAAGACGAAGACGACGAGAGCGGATCTGGAGAGGACGACAAAGAGCTGGCCAAAAAACTCGCAGACCTCAAGAAGCGCAAGAGACCTGCTGCCGACTCAAAATCAAAGAAGAAGGCAGGCTCAAAGGGTCCCAAGAGGGAGATCGAATACGAGTACGAACGCCCTGCTCGGGAGATGGTCATCGCAAAATAATCTTCAGGAGCATGAATGGGCTTGTTTCAGCGCTGGCGTTATGTGGGAAGGCATTCAAAAACATAGGTACCATCTGTCCGACTATGAAGCTCAACGCGGTTTGCAGAGCAGTACGAATAAAACAACGTTCTTCATTTTAGCAACTGCACGAGACACAATCACAACCAGCTCCAATACCTGACAGCGACACCAAGGTTTGCAGTACAATTACTCAGTGATCTCTTGGGCTTCTTCGGATGCATCTGGACAACGTGTTGTTCCAAGCAATCAAGCACAAGTTGTGTCAACTCAGCTGCAGAGCGATCTCAGTCCCCGACCACACAACCCCGAAGACATCTGAATGAGGAAGTATTATTTGCGTGTCTGACCTGGTGCAACCTGCAGGTGGCTGCGGAAGATCAACCCTTCGGAAACCAAACACCCCACAAGCACCCCACAAAACGGGCAGGTGTCGGCTATTGAATTTCAGTCGCCGATACCGATCGCTACCCATCTTTCCTCCTTCACAACACCAATTCTCGGAAACAGTAGTCCAGACAAATAGCTTGCCTTACCCATCATGTAGGTCTTCGGTCTCTTGTTCTTTTGTTCATTTCTCTTTTCACCCACCATATCCCTACCAGAAACACCACACAAACATGGCTTCCAAACCTAGCATTCTTCACCTGGGCGACCCACCTCGCTGGCATGCAGACCTATACAGCAAACTTACAACACACTTCAACGTCATTACACCCACAGCAGCAGAACGTGAACGTCCCGAGTTTCTTAAGGCTTTGAAAGAGAAGCGATGGGGTAACTTCATAGCCATCATGCGACCTTTCTGGAACACTGGTGGAGAAGGCGGCCGTGTGGACAGAGAAATGATTTCGCTCTTCCCGGAAGGTGTAAAGGTGTATGCATCTGCTGGCGCAGGCTTCGACTGGGTGGACACCGATATCTTGGCCGAGAGAGGTATGATCCGGTGGTTTATTCGCACTTGGTCCCACCAATCGTACTAATAGAGATTGCAGGAATTGTATACTGCAACGGCGCAGCAGCATCTTCAGACTCAGTAGCTGACTCCGCCCTCTTCCTCATCATCTCCACATTCCGCAACCTCGCTTGGTCTCAGATGGCCGCTCGTTCAGGAAACCCAGACGAACTTTTCGATGCACACAAGCACTCTCCAACCACTGCCATAAACCCAGGTGGCCGTATCCTCGGCATCGTGGGTCTTGGAAACATCGGCTACCGCGTCGCTCAAAAAGCATACCTCGGCTTGAACATGAAAATCGCATACCACGATCTTTTCCGCAAGCCCAAATCAGTAGAAGAGGCAGTCGGTGCAACTTACTACGACACTTTGGATGAGATGCTGGGAGCTGCAGACTGCATCATCGTCGCAACACCATTCTCAGGCAAACAACTCTTCACCGCCGAGAAGTTCAAGAAGTTCAAGCGTGGGAGCAGACTCATCAACATCGCTCGTGGACCTTTGGTGAATGAAGCCGATCTGGTTGAAGCCTTGAAGAGCGGTCAGCTGTCGGCATGTGGATTGGACGTATTTGAGAATGAGCCTCATGTCAACAAGGAGTTGTGTGGTCTCAAGCAAGCTACTTTGACGGCACACACTGCTGGCGGCACTATCGACACACATATTGGATTCGAGGAATTGTGTTATAAGAATACTTTGGGCGCGTTGTTGGAGGGTAAGGCTATCACACCGGTGAATCTGCATTTGATCAAGGCTGGAAAGAGCAAGTTGTGAGGATGAGATATATACACGTACGTACTTACGAGATCAAAACGCTTTTCAAAATTCAAACACATCAATTCCTGCATCTTTGTGCTCTTCGGGGATTCGTGAAGAAGGGACGATCGAGAGTGGGAAGGGAACCAGAAGCCGATCCCGAGTTCGCCAAGCCCGACGTCCATGTGCCGAAGACCAGTCCTCCTCCCATTCTGTTCCATCGCCATCTGACCATGCCGGCGTATTGCCATTCACGACGCAGTGCCATCTTGCTTTTGATGTACCTTCATCATGCCGTATATAACAATCCGAAGTTGCGTTCAACATGCAGCCTGAACAGCGATTGGCCGGACAATATGATGGCAAGACGCGCTGAGAGCTGTGACTGGTCAACCTGCATGCACGCACAGCGCCACATTCCCATCATCTGCCTCGGTCTTGAGGCGGTGCTCTCGCACTGATGGTCTTGTCAAAAAGGCTTTGTCAGCTCTTGACAACTCCTTTCTGTGACACTGACAAGGTTACGGTTCAATACTCACACCGGTCGGGGCATGGCTTCCCTATGGCAGAAAGCGCAACAACAGCTGAGCGATGCCGATCAGCAGCTCTTCGACTTCAACAGACCAGAGTCTGAGAGACGGCTTATCTTGGAAGATATCCTCAGGTCTGTTCAAGTACAGAATGAGCGGTGTCTCAACAAGAGATGGAAAATCAAAGGCATTGGCGGGAGAGAGATCATTCTCCGTGATCTATGCGGGAAGCTGCTATCATGGGTTAATCAGTTTCTGTCGGTGGTCGACGTAATAGCGCAATATGACCCGGTCCACTCATCGCTTCCATGGGCTGGCATCAGGCTCTTTCTCCAGGTAAGCAAATTGATAGAGACTGCAGAGGTCTTGCTGACAAGCACCAGATTTCTCTGAAAGACATCAAAACGTTCGAAGCAATGATTGAAGGACTGGAAATTACTGCTAGAGTGGTGGCTCAGTACAGTCTCGTGGAAATACTCTACCTGAAAGATCATACGGAGGCCCAGAAACAACTCCAAGGTCAAGTCACCATTTTGTATGCTGCCGTTCTACGGTATCTCTGCAGAGCAAGGAAGTATTACAGTCACAACACTGCAAGTAAGTACGCTGTTCGAGACTAAGATGTATAGCGCGGACGTTTGTCAACGCCTTCCGTCCGCCGGAACTTGATGATGCTCTGAGCCAAATCACAGATCAGGAGGCGCTGGTGTGTCGTCAAGCAGATCTTGTTAATACTGAAAGTACGTCGTGCTCCAATGAATGCTGAGGGTTTGGCTGATAGCGCATAAGGGCAGATGAGCTTGGCTGCACTTGTCAGCGACATCAAGGCAGCCGGAACAATTACTAACAACGGTCTGGAAAGCGTACAACGAAAGCTAGACAGATTCGGGGTCTCGTTCTTGCAGACCACCGGTCAAGTATCAGCGCTCCATCACGATCTTGACCGTAGGTTGCTGCATGTCTCATGTGTGCTTACAGTGCTGATGATCTGCAGAAAAGCAAAAGATACAAATTTTGTCGTGGCTTTCGTGTGTACCATATCGACAGCACTATGAAGCCTTGTCCGCCGATATCATGCCTAACTCGGGCCAATGGCTGGCTCTCAATTCGAAGTATATTGACTGGTACCAATCGGGCTCTTCACAGATGCTGCGTCTGATCGGATCTAGTAAGTGATACTGTTTTAGATGCATCCAGTTCACTAATCACAATTCAGCTGGCTGCGGTAAGACCAAGCTCATGTATGTGATTGCGTGTGGCTTCTCCGTTGTTATTGATACCTGCTAAAAAGAGTCAAGCTCCGCTACACTGCAACGCCTAAGGAGCGAAGTCGAAACAAACCCGACTGCTGCACCCATCGCATTTTTCTATTGCTCTAAGAACCCTGGTGAGCTCGAACGTGCAGATCCATGCCAGATACTCAGAACCCTCGCAAAACAAATTGCGCTTTCGGAAGATCAAACCGGCATATTAGCACCAGTCATCAGCATTCATAAGAACAAACGCATCCAGGCTGAACAAGACGGACTCAGTCCCCCAAGTTTGAACTTGTCAGAATGCAAGAAGCTAATACTAGAACTCACGGCCATGACTCCGGCAACAATCATCATTGACGCTATAGATGAGTGCAACTCTATCACCCGGCATCAATTGCTCACAGCGTTAGAGGAAATCTTGATCCATTCCCATAAACCTGTCAAGATATTGGTCAGCAGTCAGAAAGCTCGCGACATCGACGTTCGTCTTGACAAGTTTGCATGCATCATGGTCAACGAAAAGCAGAATAAGAACGACATTGATGCTTTTGTTGATCTGCAGGTGGCAACAGCAATAGAAAGCAAACAGATGCTCGCTGGAAGAGTCTCTCTTGACCTCTCAAACCGTGTCGCTTCGATTCTCAAAACCAAGGCTGAAGGGTCGTTTCGATGGGTTGCCCTACAGCTCCAATGCCTTTGCGATCCTGACACCGTCAAATTGGAACGCGATGTACATGATGTCCTTCTTCGACCGCCCCAAACACTGCTCGCTTTCTATGACTCGATCCATCATCGAATTCTAGCAATGGAAAAGCAAAGTCAGTCGATTGCGTTCGCCACATTCTACTGGCTCCTACATGCAAAATAATTGCTGTCCGTCGACGCGCTCCTATCTGCTGTTTCAATGTCTTTGATGAAAGACGATAAGTCTCTTGCAATCGGTGAGATACTGGATTGTTGTTGCAATTTGGTCGAAATTGATGAGGTCTTGAACGTGGTCCGACTTTCCCACTCGACTGTACAAGAGTATGCTTGCTGAGTTTTGCTGGGTTGGTCCATTATTGACTTCGAACAGTTATCTCGAATCACTCGGCCATTTTGCTCCTCAGCAAGCGCATGCCAATTTGGCACGCAGCTGTCTAGAAATCTTGATACACGCCTCGGGAAACAGCATGAGCAGAATTTACTAATATGCCGTAGTGTACTGGGCTGCTCATTACGAGATCGCACAATTCAAAGAAAAGGCGGATGTGGACCTCCTATCGACTTTCTTGTTCGAGGACGACCATCTCGACAAATGGCTAGAAGCTTTGAGCTCCATACTGCCAACTCACCAAACTAATCTGGCCGGCGAGCTGTCACAAAAGCTTCACGCTGTTTGGAGTGTTCCAGAGTCTCCCTTGTTTGCTATATCATGTTTCGGCTTGCATCCTGTTTTAGACTTCAACCAGAACAGCGATCAGATCCTAGACTGGCATCAGCCTAATAGCGATGGTGCATCTGCTCTGAGTCTAGCTTCTCACTTCGGTCATCTCGAGACCGTGAGGTATCTGCTGCAGCAAGATCTCATTGCCGGATCTGCTCGCCACATATCGCCAAGCATGGACAAGCAGCAGATCGGCTTCAGAAATCGATCGGCTTCTGGATCTCGGCCACAATCTTTCGCAAATGCAATCCAGGCAGCTGTAGCAAGATCGCACGAATCCATCGCAGAACTCATCATCGAATACGGCTTTTGTTTTCCAGATCAAGAGTCGTTCGATCGCTGTTTCCGTCGAGCTATCTTCAGTGGTCAACTCGCTGTTGTCGAACTCCTGATTGGAAGATTCGCTGGCATGTTCACACCTCAACGAGTCCAGGACCAGCTTCAGGTTGCTCTGTTCAGCGGCAAGGAGAGACAAGCCAAGGGTCTCTTCGTGAGGTATGGTGATGTAAACCAGCAGACTGGTTTCTTCGGAAACGCTTTACAGGCTGCAGTCTGCGGCGGAAAGCTCAGTCTCGTTAAAGCGCTAGCAGACCGTGGAGCGAGACTCGAAGTGAGAGGTCTATACGGCTACCCTCTTCGCGCTGCTGTCGTTTTGGGACATGAGAATATGGTACGCTGGCTCCTAGAAGAGGCCAAGGCCGACCCGAACCTTGAGGATATTGAGCTTGGAGACTGTCTTCAGGCAGCAGCCTTCAAGGGTCATCTTGGCATCATACATCTCCTTTTACAGCACGAAGCCAATCTTGAAGGCTTGGGAGGACCGTTCTGGACACCGCTTTCAGCTGCCTATTCTGCTGGACAATTACAAGCTGTTCGGGTACTCTTGAACCATGCCGCTCGATTCGGTGGTGAGTCAAGACTTCGACCTCGAAGTGCTCTGCTTCCTCTTCCACAAGGCCGTAAGAGGGAGATCATTCGTATCCCCTTGCAAAGGGCGACCTTGCTCACAGCTAGACTCATGCCGGAGGCCGGACTAGTGAACGGATGCTTCAAGACATATTTCATCTATCCCGAAGGACGCTATGGCAATGATGGAATCAAGATTTCTTCAACACGAACAATCCAGGTAGTCTGGATATCGAAAAGCGGCACCCGAAAACCCATACAAGCCTCACTACACAAGGTCATGTCGGATTTGCTCTCTACAGTCCCAGACGGTGCTAACATAGAAGAGCATATACGCTTGGCGATCGCCTCGAAAGACATGCTTACAGTTCTGTCCAAGCTCCGGGAAGTCGACGATCGCCTACTTTTGCTCGATAGCCAAGTCGTTGGTCAAATAGACACTGGAGTAAGTGGCGCTCAAGTGAACCATCGTATCGCGCAGGGAACGGTTTTGAGGCTACGGGGTCCAAGAACGCACGATGGTTCCTCCGCTCCAGGGGCATTCTTATAACACTACTGCTTTTCTCGCTCGTGGGCAAACTTTTCAAAACCCCAAACTCTGTCGGTCTACTGTAAACCCCCATCTTCAGTGGCTTTTCTCGCGCTCTCTCATTCTCCTCGTCCTCGAATGTCCTGCGCTAGCCATGTGTTATTCTTTTATGTCATCGAAGGACGTGATTTCCTTTTCTTGCCTCCGAATCCTTGGATTTCTTTGAGAGATACGGGGGGCTCTTCTTTCTTCTTTTTATCACTGATTGCGAGATCCTGTTTATGGTTTTGCGTAGTTTTGACACCAGTGTTGTCATATGAAGAAAAGAAAAAAATCCTCATGCGAGACGGACGGTACGGGCTTAAGAAAGTCGGCCGGGTTAAGATCTCGATGAAGATAGTGGGTGAATTGTTGGGGGCTAAATTGATGGTGTTCCAAAACATTTCTTTGTCATCACTTGCCTTTGCGGATATATGGAGAGATATGGAACACTAGGCGATCGGGTTGCGTTATAGCCATTGCAAATATTCTTGAGGTGCAGATGTAGGTCATTGGGAATATAGTTGACTCCAATACTTTCTAGACTGATGTCTATAGTTGTATGGATACTCGAAGTTATTGCTCGAACCAGCATCGCCACATCCTCATCGATCCACATCGTCGTACCCTCATATCTAACTATCTGACACTCAATAGTCGTGCTCTCGTCTTCCGCAACCAGCTTTCCACCATCACCATCAACAAGCACCCAAGTATCCACCTCATCATCACCAAGATGATACGAAAACACAATACTGCTGAAACTCTGATCCGCATCTTTACACCAGATATCAGAAGATGCGTCATCGTGATTATTGTTCATCATCCAGCGGAATGAAAAGTCATAGGTGGTGCCTGGGGTTGTGGCGAAGGTTTGAGATATGGATATGCCTGCTGGTTCGCGGTTTTGGTATTCTGCTTTTATGGCGTTGTTGCTGTTGTAGCCGGGTGATGCGATGATGAAGGTGGTTGGCGCTTCCCTCATGATGACGTTTGAAGACCATGGGCTGAGAGAACCGGGTTCGAAGTCTGCGTTGATGGGTAGATCATCTGATGTCGTGCAAATCGTTGAGGAGGGTAGTGCTGGTGCGGCTATTGACGATGCTGAGGTTCCACATGCGGAGAGGCGGTTGAGAGAAGACGAAGAAGTAGAGGAAGAAGAAGAAGAAGAAGAAGAAGAGGAACAAATAGAGATAGTCGAGTACAGCGTCACAGTAGAAGCTTCGCCAGTCAATGCGACTGTCGAAACTCGAGCAGCAGAAATCGAATTACCGCGATTCATGTTCATGTTGACGGTAGACATGGAGACAACAGTAGAAGCTGGTAATGTCATGGTCCAAGTAGATAGAGGACAAGTCTGTGAGCATTTGGTTGTAACAGTCAAGGTGGCAGCTGCAGCAGTACTCACTTCCACAGATCGAGGACAAGACCTCACAGCACAAGTCCGCGAGCACTGTGCCATAACAGTCGGCGTCTCAATCGAAGTAACCGTCGACTTAGCACAAGAGATAACTTTACATCCAGTAGGCGTAGTAGTCTTGGTACTGATACTAATCAGCCACTGAACAGCCGTGCTGATTTTCGTCTCGGTCTTCGTTTTCCATCTCGTCTCTGTCGACTTGACGGTCAAGATATTTGTCTCCGTCACTGTGTAAGTTTTAGCTATGTAGGCGATTGCTGATGCGGTGATACAGGTGCAGGCGCCGGAAACAGCGGTTGCTTTTAGTTTGTGGTATGAAGCGGTTTTCTTCGCTCTTTAACAGATAAGTAAATATTCATCAGTTGTAGAAGGATTTGGAGCTTACCCAGAGAGATAGAAGTAGCAGAAAGCGACTAGTGAGTTCTCGTTGCTTTTAATGGTGTTAATGTTAGCATTATTGCAGGCTAAAGAGACCGAGCATTTTCTACTCGACAATGTTTCATTTAATTGCACCTGGATAAAAAGGAGCGTAGAAACAAGGGGGCTTTTAGAGGACGTGTAGTAAATTTTAGAGGACGTGTAGCTGGCCCGCCGCGGCCCTGCGCACGGACCCTTTTCGCACTAAAACTAGCTGAATTTATAGGCGCGTTTAGGCATGTTAACACTCTCTAAAAATCAACAACATTACGTCATCGAATTAGTTATGTCTTAACCGTCGTACGAGGACGACCTTCTCGACGATAGCGGCCTTACTAACCTTATACGCCCTCGCCCTCGCCCTCGCTCTAATTCCTTTAACTCTAATGCCTCTATCGAGAGTAACGATACCGACAAATATAGCGTATCTAACGACAAGGATACTATAGTCGTCGCTAACTTAATACTACCTCCTCCTACTAGCTACTTTACGACCCTTACTCTACTCGAGGAGCATATCTACCGCTATGCGCGCGACTATAGCTATAACCTATTAGTTACTACCCTCGATAAGCAATATAGTATTAGAAGGACCTATAGTTATACCTAGCGTAGAGGTTACTCTCTAGCCCGCATAAACAACCCTTAAGTAGCTTATAGTAAGCGCCCTTATCGTACAAAGAAGAGAAGAGGCTATAAGATAGGAGTTATTACTAAATAGAAGGTCCCTAGTAGTCCCTAGGAACTAGTCTATAGTTAGCACGCTTATGCTTATAACTATAAGCCTTCTTATGCCTCCGTGTTTACTAGTTATCGCTATCGCTAGTTAGAAGACCTAGTCGTACTTAGAGAGATCGAGATCGACTATTATACTAGAGTAGCTCCTTGCATTACGCTCGCTCGTCTCTATTACCTTAGGTTTAACTTATTACTCCGCTTAGACATCTATAACGAATAGTAGCGTATTTAATAGGTTAATCTTAATAGTAAAATACCGATCGAGCGTATAGTTAAGGTAGTTAGTAAGACCGACAATTATTAGAGTAGATATATAACTAATGCCGAGGGCTATATTACTAACTTATTTATTACGCGTAAGGAGATAGTCGAAATCTATCGTTAGTACCCTAATATCCTCCTTCTTAATAGTTAAAATAAGTCGTGCAACGGGTGCATAAAATACTCTAGCTAGCGTAGGGAAGTAATCCTAGAGCCTATAGAATTAACCGAAGGTAGAGACGCGACCTTTGCTAGTAAAAGCGCGCTAACAGTATATAGCGTAGTAATTAATTAAAGAGAAGAAGAGTATCTACAGGCGCAATCTATTAAGAGCATCCTACTCTACTAAGGCGTTAGGATGCTAAGCTAACCTTATTATCCCCTTACTTGTTACAGCCTATTGTAGACCTATCTACAACAGAACCTTACCGTATTATAATAGAGTTGTAACTCCTCTAAGTGTGCTAGGACTACACTATTTTCAACTCTCCTACTTAGGACTATACATATATTACTACATGCCTAGTAAACTAATAAACCTCTTAAATGGAGACTTATTTAATAGCTTTATAAGGCTATTAGCAACTATGTTAGTTGTTCCTATAAACTTAACCTTAAGCCTATTCTTCTTAAGGAGATCCCTCTAGTAATGGTAGGCTACATTAATGTGTTTTGACCTATTAGAGATTTGTGCATCTCTAACTAAACTAAGGGTAGCTTAATTGTCTCCTCTAATAAGAATAGGGGAAGTAATTATATACTTCATTTTCTGTTTGAGTGTTAGCTAGAATATGCTTTCTCCTATAAGATGGGTAGAGCCTATATCTCTTAGAGTAAGTGCAATCCATTGTAACTGTTTTGCTGCTACACATATAGCTATGTGTTTAGCATCCATTGTAGAAGTAGCCACAGATTTCTGCTTCTTGCTCATCTAACTAATAGGACCATCTACAACTATAAATACATTCCTAAGAATTAATAACCTATTAGATCTTGTAGAAGCAAAGTTAGAATTAGAGTACCCTACTAGTCTAGGCCGGTTCATTCCTTTAAATATAAGTCCTTAATCTTATGTTAATCTTAAGTACTTAAGGATATGCCTTGTAGTAGACATATAGAATTTAGCTAGATCTCCTAGGTACTAGCTTAGTCTCCTAAGAGCGAAAGAAATGTTAGGTCTTATCAAAATAGCAAGATACATAAGCTTCCTAATTAATGTCTAATATCCCTTTTAATTAGTTCTTAGATTAGCCTATTCTACTAGCCTAATGGAATTATATCTATTCATTAGGGTGCTTGTCTTTCTTGTCTTGTCCTATTACATACTATACATAGAGAGGATATCTCTAATGTAGTGTGCTTAATCTAATTTGACAATCCTTTTCTTTCTATCTCTAGTGACCTATACTCCTAGGATCTTCTTAACTTCTCCTAGGTCCTTAATCTTAAAGACTCTTCTAAATTCTGCTTTGAACTAGTTAATATTCTTAATTGACTTTAAGGCAATAAGGATATCATTAACATAAACTAGGAGAATCAGATTCTTGTTAGGATGTATTAATAGGTAGGGGTTAGCATCCGATTGCATAAAGCCTAGCTTTTGCAATTTAAGAATACACTTCTTATTCTAGTCTCTTGTAGCCTGTTTAAGTCTATATAGACTTCTACAGATTCTGAGACATTAACTAGCAGGTATATTCATTCTAGGAGGTGCCTTTATATAAATGTCTTCCTTTAAGAATGATTTAGTAAAGGCATTGTTAACATTAATAGAGTAGCATTTAAGATCCTAGATTGCAACTATTGTAAAGAAGATTCTTAGAGTATTATGTCTTAGAGTAGGCGTAAAGGTATACTTATAGTCAACTCCAAATTTCTATGAAAACCCTCTTACAACTAGTCTTGCCTTAAGCTTGTCTAGAGAGCTATTAGTGTTAAACTTTGTTGCAAAGACCCATTTACTAGAAACAATGTTGTAGCCTATAGGTAGAGTAGTAATCTTAAAAGTACTATTTGTAGCAAGTGCATTCAATTCGTTTTAAATTGCTTCTCTCTACCCTTCTCCCTATATCTTGTCTACAATTGCTTTAAGATAGGTAAGGGGAATAGGGATGTCCATTCTTCCTTATGCAACAAATGCTACCTC